CCTGGAACCATCTAAGAATAAGCAGGGGACTTGTTCATCTGGACATCTGATTGCTGTGTCAGTTGCAATGACGTAGCCTGAGCTACGTTGTTGAGCTGTGGGCTCGACGAAGTGGGTGCTTCCTGGGTGGGAGTGGGTTATTGTGTTCCTGAGCCACTTGGCTCAGGTGTAGAGTATGGTAAGTTTACCGTTCTTCCCATGGGGAAGGGTGGTTGCTGGCCCATTTGTCCAGCATGGAGACTTGCATCTCTTTCCCGGTATTTGGAAGCTTTTGCTTCCTGCCCCACAGTTTTTGCGGTGCATTCCTCAGGAGTCCTGAGTGGTTTGAACTGGGACTTTATATAGGCAGCTTTGCCTAGACTTTCCCAGGAGATTTTTCCCCTGTTCTCCAGGGAATTGTACTCCTCCGCGAGTTTTGAAATACTCAGGAGTCCCAAGAAATATTTCTTGGTTTCCTTCGCTTTTTTGCAAAGGACTCTGTGTACCTTGCCGCTTTTAAAGGCAGCTTTGGCCTGTTCATACCAATGTACGTATTCTTTCCCACTCACACTTGTCCACCAAGCGTATGCTGGCATCATGCACCACTTCTGACCCCACTATTCTCGTTGGGGTCGATTGTTACATCGATAGGAGCTTCGACTTTGCCAAACTTGTTGAGTTTGGTGGACTCATATAGCATGTGGACACTTCCCTGCAGGGTAGCTTGCCCATAGGGTGCTGAGGTACTTAGCGGCCCACCTCCTCTGGCAGTGGTCCCTGTTTTGGAGTCTTCCATCGGTTGCGCACTGCTCTCCCTCTTCCCCTCAACATGGGTTTACCCTCCTGAGGGCAGGCCCTTATGCAACCTGGACAGGGTCGCCTGCCCACAGGGTGGTGGCATAATCGGTGCCCCACCCCTTGGTGTGCTAGTCCCTGTGTGGGGTCCCACCTCATGAGGCCCGGCACTGTATCCCCTCCCCCTGACCTGGGAGGCCCCCATCATAATGGGTTTGGCAGTGAGGTCTGCCAGTGCATGTGCCTCTTCAAGCTCATGTTTCAGTAATTCAATCTCCCTCTTCTGGAGATCAACTTCTCTCTCTGTATCTTTCAGAGAGGCAAAGATGCCCTTGGCATCTCTTTGTGCTCTATTGTACTCATGCCTCCAATGGGCTCAATTATCACAGGCATCATCTGACACCCTCGAGTTGTCAGACCATGCCCGTTTGGACAGCCTGGATGAGGAGCCACTGTCGCTCCCTTGTCTCCCTCCTACGAGGGACTTCATCTCTTTCAACTCCTGACGGAGTTGACCTGTCTGAGCAGCTATTGCTGATGCGATGGCTGATTCCCAGCCTACATTTGGCTGGGGTGTTGTTGGACCTGGGCCAAATTGGCTGATCCAGGGGGTGATTTGGCCAGGGAAGTTCCCTGGGGAGTATGCCTGGGGCTGCAGCAGCAATTGCTGCCCCTGGAATGGTGCTTGTTGCGCCATCGGTGCAGTTTGCACTGCATATGGTTGGAGGCCCCTTTGAGGAGGCTGGGGGTATGCAGTGCCAATTGGCATCGTGGGAGGTTGTTGATTTGTGGCACTCATTTGTGCCATGTGCATTGTATAGTCCATGGTGCTTACTGCACCTGGTGTTGTTGTTGTTCTGAGGGGCCTTGCTCCCCAGGTTGTTGTATCTTGATGTCCAGCAGCTTGTTCAGATCGAATCAAGGGTTGCCTCCCCCAGAGAACGACATTTCATCATTTTGTTTCTCATGGTGGTGGGAGGGGTTTAGGTTCTTGCATGTGTGGGATTCGCTGCAATTGTGTATGGTTTTACACGTGTGCCTGTGGTTCATGTGGTCTAGGCGAGTTACTCACCTAGCCCATGTGATGTCTAGCACATGGTGTGGCTGTCCGGGCAAGTTGCTTGCCCAGAATCTTCCCACACTCTTGGCTGTGGGCAATCGCCCTTCAGCTTCACTTTTTCCACCTCCGTTTTTGGGGACATAGTGATGCCGAGAGTTCCCTATCTTCTTTGATAGGGAGATTTTCTGGTTCCCTCACATTTTGTAATGTGAGGTACTCGTCCAGGTGGACAAGGTCGTTGCAATTTTCTAGGGGTTCCGATGTGGTGTCCCTTAGCTCCCATTTGACCTTAAACCAGAGTCCATCATGAACCCATGTGTGGTTTAAGATTCCGCAAACTACTGCTTTGCGATCGGGGTCTTCCCCAAAATCGTAAAATATGTTTACTTCCCTATTTGGGAAGATTTCTTGGTCATTTGGCTCATGAGGCACAAGCTGAGATACGTGGAATCTTGGGTGGACTCCACGTTGTTCAAGTTGTGGTGGCAACTTGAGGACATAGTTTGACATCTCTGGAAATGTTTCCAGAATTTCATAAGGCCCTATATACAGGGGCTTTAGTTTGCCTGCCCTTCCTTTGGGTAGGTTCAACTTATCCATGGATAAGTATGCAAGCTCACCTTTTCTCAAAGGTGGGTCTGGGCATCTTTTCTTATTCACCTGGATTGTTTGGGCAGTGCGATTGTGTATTATCGCATCATGTGCTACCATGAGGTTTTCCTTTGCCTTTTGGGTGAAGTCGTTCACTCCCAGGTAGTCCAAGGGTGGTGCTGTTAGGCACATCTTTGGCATGTGGCCATAGATTAATTTGAACAGGGCAAATCCTGTTGATGTGTTTGAGCTCGCATTGATTGCGAATTCTGCCATTGACAGCTTCACTGCCCAGTCGCATTGATCTGGTCTGACCATCATGCATAGTATCTGTACTACTTTTTGTATCATTCTTTCCACTTGGCCATCACCTTGTGGGGAATGCAGTTGTGAATTTCAACTGCACACCGAGTATTCAGTGTAGTTTGCACCAAAATTTTGACATGAATTTTGAGTCTCGATCTGATATGATTGAGTGTGGTAGACTGTGAAGTCTTGTCATGACCCGGCAATTCCCATGGTCAGGTGACCACTTCCCACACCTTCTCCCTCCTCCACTTCGACCCTGTCAACTCCGCTGCCCACCCGACGCTGCCTGGACTAGCCTGTCATCCATCCCTGTCACTGCTACCTGTTCCACAGCCCATCACGGGCCTATGAGTCATTCCTTATTACACTTGTTTTCTTGACGGCCATGCACAGCCATCCTTCTCCCACGCTCTTTGTTTGTTTTTGTTCCTTCTTAAGCCCGCCCGCAATCTCCGTGAGATCTGGCGACTTATTCCTATTCATTTCATTACACTTAAATACCGGTTGTACACTACCTCGTACTTCAGTTCGAAAATCAACCAGGGTTACCCCCTGTGTTCTCTGTCTGACCCAGTCACACTCTCTGTCCTCCGAAATATCCGGGCCACATCAAGTACGAGGCACAATGCTCACGAACGAGTCGTTGAAGCCAAAACCCCGCTTCACTGCGATTGTCACCCCTGCCCTCAACGGGCTGTTACGCCGGAGTAGCGGACCTTAATGGCTGCTGATGGCGAGTCACGGTAATGTTTTCCCACACCCTGACAGTATTTTCGAACTCCCCTCACTCTTGATGTTAAACGATGTCTCGCAAACCCAGAACCCATTCTCAGACCTGCCCACCTGTGGCTGGTACTTCCGCATCACCATACACGCAGTACACCTTGCGTGTACTATTTGATAGGGAAGAGCCAGATGAACCTTTATTCGAGAGTTTCACAGCAGACCGGGCAGACTTATGGTCCTCAACACCAGTGAAATGCTGTCGATACCGCTGGCAACGAGCGCCAAGCAAAGTTGACAGCGATTCACTTGGTAATGAGGCTGAGTTAATGGCCCAGATACCAATCAAGCCGGTGCCAGAACCCGAACCAGAGCCCAAGCCAGTGCCATGAGAGGAGTTACCCACTGATCTGCCAGTTACTGTCGACGAGGAGATCGAAGAAATCGATATTGACCAAGCCGAGCAAGCCCTGCCGAAGGGATGTATGGCTTTCATACTCACCAAGGCAATCAGCGATCTTGCTCGAACCGCCAGATGATCCTGCTGCCTCGACCCAAACTGGCCCGTAAGATGGTCTGTGAACCTGAACCATTCAACGGCTCTGACCGTAACAAACTTCATACATTCTTCGTCCAATGCAAAGTAAATTTTATGACCCGCGCCCGAGCATTCCCGACCGAGGCTGACAAAGTCCTGTTTGCCGTCTCTTACTTGAAGGGGGGTGTGCCCTGACAGGGGTGGATCGGGCATGCATACTGACAGGCCCGATGCAGGACAATGGTCCCTGGCCACTTAGACTGAAGTGGAAAGATGTTATTGTTATTAAAAGGGGAATGCTATACTACTTACCTGAAGTGGAAAGATGAGAAGAAGGCTACTTCTTCGGTTCCCACTTCAGGTATGTTTATATACATGCGGCTTGGGTCACCTGACAGATGCCACATCACCCTTGCACACAGCCATAACCACCCAGGTGTCTCTGTGGGAGATCCCGATGGCATCCGGTGCAAGCACATGTGCTGGGCACAGTGGGAAGTTGCCCAAGGTGCCTGGGCCAGGTGTGTCATGGGCATGCTGCAGGTGGGTCAATGGTACATTGATACAAGGAAAGGTCGTCCATGTAAAATAAAGAGAAGATAAAGAAGAAGTAAAATAGAAAGAAGATAAGGAAGCAGAAATGAGGAGGGGGAAAGGAAAGGGGGAGGAGGTTGAGGAGGGGTGGACAGTGGGGTACCGGGTCAGGTGGGGCCGGGTGGAGCCGGGTCAGGCAGGTGTGCCCTGACAACTAAATGCCCTCATTAGGCAGAGGTGGTTTCTAACAGGGCCATCTCCAGGTCATGTGAGTGAGACACAATTTGACATGTGAAATAGGGCATTAAACACAGAAAAATCGACAATGATTTCCCCCTCAACAAGACAAACCCAACTGCTCTGAAATGTGGGTGCTGGGACACCGGGCAGGCACGGCACTCCTCCAGAGTCGCTGAGGCCAAAGCCTAACCCCTTGAGTCTTGACCCCCACCCTTGTCTGTAACACTATTACTCCTAAATCATTTAATTAGCACTAAGAGTACATCATTCAAGTAGCTACATGTACGGAAACTTCGCTGATGTTCAAAATAATTAGTCTCCCAGCGCCAGCTCCCCCATCCTACCCTCCAGGGCATGAATGTTCCCCTCACCCTTTCCCTTCTCTTTCCCCTTGTTCTTCTCTCGCTTCTTCTTCTCCTGCTTCTCCTCCTTTTCTTCGCGTCTCCTTCGGTATTCTTCCTGGATAGTGGTAACTTCCTCGTGCCTCAGAATCTCGTCATATGCCGGATCAAGCTGTAACAAGTTCTCCAGCCACTGCCGTTCATCAATAACGGGGTGCCTCCAAACCCTAAATGCTTCTCCCACGATCCCGTGGAATGAAGCAGCTGACAGTTCCTCGAATAACTCGTTGTTATGTTCTAGAACCCGGGCCATGAAATTCATAAACCTGAAGGCTCCCGGAGACAACCGACCCCCACCAAACATCTCCGGCAGGAGGAACTTGCCAAGCTCAACCGTGTTGTACACCCAGCCCGAGGATGGGGCATCAGGAGCGTCGGGGGCATCCGCCGTCTTCACCTCCCACGACGGGAACATCATATCCACAAGGATCAATTCGGCAGAATATCGTAGTCCAAAAACAAACCCGTGTTTTGGGAGAGGCGGAGGTTTGTTGGGACTGAACTTATTTCCGTTGGTCGCAGCCAAGGCGATAAGCGACAATATGGGCAGCGATGCGAGGAATGTTTGGTTTAATGCTTGTGCAAAGTTTGGCCTCGCTGAAGGTTGTATTTCTGGCACTGACAGGCTAGACGATGCAGGAGTTGATTGGATCTTTAGGTAGGTAGACTCTTTTAGTTCAGGACGTTTGGCCTCGCCGATGAAGATTCCAACCCGTATGCTCGTGTGTTGGTCCAAACCCACGGACGTGAGTAAGTCCGCACGGGGTACTGTGCTTCCAAATCCCATGACAGGAGGGACGTTGATAGGCTGGTTCCTGGCACCCAACATTCAATGCTAAGCGGTTGCGGGGGCCTGTTAACACACTTACGAATGGCAGAAGAACGACGGGTTCGAACTGATATCGAAAAACGGCATGATGATCGCTCCAATGTTTCGCTCAGTGTCCATTTCAGTGGACACCATCCCTTCATGGCGCGGAAGAAACATTCGGATAATAAACTCGAATAACGGTTTATTCTTCCTGAGCATCGCGACACTGTCTCGAAGAGATCGAACTTTAGTCCTCACAACTCCGTCCTGCAGGCACAGCACTGCTGCAACCACTTCCAGCATCTCAAACCCGTCACCCAGGTTGGCCAATTCCCCGAGTGTAATTTTCTCCCAGTGAGTGGGGAGCACCTGGCGGTCAGTACCTCATGATGTGAGGCAGAGTTCCAAACAGTGAACTTATGGTAAGTCCGTGCTCACATTGAGGGCATCAGGCAAATTTTCAACCGATAACCCCCCCTCCGCGAAGAAACTCACAAAGCGTTCCATATTCATTCGGTGTTCGGTTAAGGACAATTTTCCGTAGGCCCTCCGACTGCTGTATGCTGTCCAATTCGAAAAGACACGAAGACTCCGTGAGGTGATGTCTGAAGTGCTCATGTTACTACCCCAATCGCGAGTCAACTACCTCAAACCGGACGGAACGAGAATCCACGCGTACCTGGCCGTTTTGAAGCCAGTGGACGACGGCTTCTCGATCGGCTTCGACCGATCGATGAATCCGAGCTTGCTCAGATGATCCCATAAGAGTTTGTTACTTATGACCTTTGGGAAGGAAGGGAGTGTCCGATTTGGATCCCTTGCAGTAGGATATTGATAATTCTTGAACTTTTTGTGGAGATCTTCAAGGTCATCCGACATGATGTTTAGCATGGTGACTGTTACAAGGGAGGGAAGACGTGAAAGGCACAGTACGCGTCAGTCGAGGACTATGAGACTACAAAATTTGCTCCGGATGTGAACGTAGAATCGTTGCGCCCATCGCCGACTGCCCGCCAACAGCCGGCCCAATTCCTGAATATTCCGTCAAAGACACTATCATTCACCATCTGCATAACAATAGAGTGGGTAGAGTGGAGGGCACAGATGCAACACAACCGTCCCAATTGTTGTCAGTAAGGTCTAAGTCAACGTTTTTGATACATCGCGTCGAGTATGTCAATGCGTAATTAGCACTAGTGGACGAAAGAAGACCTTGAAAAGACTTCCAACACATCTTCGTCCCACTCATGTCTGGCCAGCGTGCGCGCCACATTTTGATGGTGTACCAGGATCCCAGTCATCAAGTTGAGAAAGCTCACGAGAACGAAATGAGGTCGTGCGCGAGCCAAGGTCATGTCACCAAAGGCAGCGGAATGACAAGAAGAGCAATATATCTTCCAGTTTTTTGACTTCTCATCGAAGTATGGGGTCAACAATTCGACCTTCACCTCTTCGGTCAAGACAGCCACGCCAAACACAAAAGCTTCTGGAAACGGCCGATGCGCTAAATTTCCATCAGGGTCAACGTGGCAACTTGCTATTGCCATCAGCGTTAAAATAGGTAGGTTTGCCGCTACCAATTCCTGCCGAGCAATGACATCTGCTGGCTGATATGGTCCTTGCTTGCAGTTGTCTGTTCTGCATGATGCAAGGTCAACTGCAACACCCACAGGGATCTGCGCGCTTCCTACACACAATGAGGAGCTGAAGTGTGAGATGGAGTCGACGGAAGTGGATCCAAGAGCTCTGAAAATATCACTACAATTAAGATTCAGGATGGGGGACGAGACCAGGGTAACATCTTAGGCGTACCCGAAACCCGTGAAATCTTCATGCCGGTGCCAGCCACGAAAAATTCGTTTTATCAACATGTCGCCACTCGAGTCAAACCTCCACATTGTACCTAGGTTGCCTGCATCAGGAGGAGGCCATCCAGGGCCATCTGGATTGTTGAGCCCCTCACCGCCGTTACCGCGAACTGTTTCGAGCGTTTCGGTGACATAGTAAGATGTTGCAAAGGCAAGGTTCGAATTGAGAGCTAAAAGACTTCCATAAGAGGTAGAACGCAGGAAACTCCTAAGTTTCTCTTCCTCGAACCCCCTCTTTAGTGTCTACAAAATGTTGAGGAGTTGTTCAAATGTTTCTAAATCGTGCCTACATTAAGTTCAGCGGGGAGACTGTCATACACCACGGCCTGGCGGATACGTGATACTATACGGGCCCTGTGCATGTAGGGCTTGACCAACGAGTCCCAGAAGAAAAGTTCGTCGAATTGAACGTATTTAACAACTGGACGTTTACTGTGAAGGCATTAGAGTTGTCACCAGACCTAGACTGATTTGGCGCACACACAGCCAGTCAGTCATATTCCGTGCTTGCAATACGGGATCAAGTTCAAAATCCATTCCCTTCTGGAGGCACGGAGTATTTGTAGTCGTACCCAATTCTGCGCATGGGAGGACATTATCCATCACTGTTGATGGCAAGAATCCCGGCATATTCCGAGGACCGTGGGAAATTGCGAACTGGATTTCCAGGCTAGTATAGAGGCTTACATAAGTTATTGTTTTTTTTTTCAAATCGGCCATTAAAATCGTTCTCTGCCGTTGTGACAAGTGAGTTAATCGCATCCCGGGACTTCGAGAGCATAAGATGTAAGCTCGAGTCCAGTTCAGTTAGCTCCCTAATTTATGTCTTGCCTGTAGATGGCGGGGTATTTAACCTTGCGCATACTTAGTGTAGGTGAGTACTCGCTGAACTGGTTCAGGGTTCCCTCGATGAGCAAACGGGATTGACCACTGCAGGAAGCGTAATCGGGCCAATTGTGGCTAGTAATCATATGCATGTCTTATCACTCTACTTACTCCCCCATTGGCGGTCAGGTACGCATCAACACTCAGAACCTTAATTTGGCAACTTAGCTTCATCATCTTGGATAGATGTACGACCTTGACCATGCATGCCGTGGGTGGGCGGTTTTTCACTACTCTCTTGGACTTTGTGGGGCCTTGGCTGTACAGGCAAAATGCCATTGCTGAGGCGCTGCATCAATGAGCTGAAACTTCTACATTGATATTTCCTGAAGTTTCGGCGTCTCCCGCGCGCTGACAAAAAGAACTGGTCATACGTTTGATTGCATCTCTATGCCTGAGTTACCTGAAGTTCATCGCATCGCTGGTATCGTACGGAGAGCAGCTCTTGGAAGACGAATTCGTGCTATCCAGTCTACCGAAGACCCTCCTGTGTTTGCAGATGGAATGACAAATGAGGTCTTAGGATCCGCTTTCCGTTTAATATGACCTATGGAAAGGTTTTCTACGCTGGCACTGGATGGCATCCTGTCATACATCTCGGCATGACTGGGAATATGTACGTTAGGGGCACGAATCCTAACTTCTATAGGAGCTCTCCAAAGAAGGTGGACACAGTGGCCACCCCGGTTCTGGAAAGAATGTATCACATCTCGCTCGCTTTAGGGAAGATTAAAGCGTAAATATTAATACCAAAATATGACATGACATCGTTGCAATTCGCAAATTCATCTGGACGATGGTGCAAGGGTGTGGGCGAACCTCCCATTTCGACCCAATACTTTCCATATCATCCCTGGAAGAATTCTCATCGGGAGTTTTTAAGCGAGGCCTCCCCATCAAGTCCTTGCTTTTGGACCAGACGTTTAGTGTGGGAGTCGGCAATTGGGTTGCTGATGAGTTTCTGTTTCATGCTCGAATCCATCCCGAATAGAGATCTAATAATTTGGGGGAGAACCAGGTCAAGGAATTGTATGAAAAGATGCAACAAACTGCTGTAGGAGTTGACACTGATTCGTCACAGTTCCCTGAACACTGGCTATTCAGGCACCGCTGGGCGAGCATAAACTCATAAACGAGTCTTGGGGGGTCCACACAATCTTATTGATTTTCCATTAGGGGAAAGGGAAAGGGAATTCTTCGGACCTGAAGTTGGTAGGTTCACCACTTTGGGGTGTTGTCGCACCTCGCCGACAACGATCCTGCGAACTCAGCCGTTTGGCGAGCCAGGGTTGATCAAGTGGATCACTGTCAGCTCTCCCACGTCCGCATTCGTGCCCAAGGTCCAAGTACTAGAGGAGGGAAGGAAGGGACGCACAAGGTAGTCAGAAGTCTATCAATTATACCGGAAAGATGTCATCCGAGTTTACGATAGGAAGGAGATGAAGGTACCCATTCTTCAGGGGATTCTTCTTTATCCGAGCCGGAAGACCCGGAGTTTATCAAAACAGTGCGCCCCTTGACACCACGTCGCGTCTAACTGATCCCAAAGCGGCAACTAGACTAAGAAAAGAAAGTCATCGGCTTCAGCGGACCAACCTTCAAAAGAAACCCGCCATACTCGACAGCGGCATAACATCATTGAAGTACCTTTAACGTGCTGTGCAATCTGCGCGATTGACTTACGGACATACTTACAGGAATCGGCAAATGAAGAGATCCCCAAAGTGAATCAACGACGAAGCTCTCGTCTGTCAGCCAAAACGTAATAGTCATCACTTTATCCCCTGTCCCACACGATTGTATTATAATGTTTCCCAATGTCGAGAACTTCGTTTTGGTATCAGAGTGCGTAAATGAAGGCAAGAAGCAATATGAATATTAACTGTAGTTGATCAACTACGTCTCTACTGTCGTCCTGCTTGACAATACCTTCCGCGTCCTTACTAATCATCTTCGACCTCATCCATCAATTCGTCCCCATCATCATCTTGATTGTCTCACTCGTCCTCCTCTTCTCCATCCTCCTCGTCTTCATCCTCATCGTCGTCATCCTCATCGTCGTCATCGTCGTCCCCTTCATCAGCTGAACCTGACTCTCCTGCACTCTCCTCACTGAGCTGAACATCTTCGATGCTTCCTTCGTTCTCATCCATCTCAACATCCTCTCCACCACTCTCGCCTTCAACATACTTGGAAACCGCAACTTCTCTCCAAGCACATCAAGCTTCGCCTTGCCCATCTTTCCCTACCACTTTCCCAGCGAGTGCAGCGGCGGAAACGAGTGCGGACTCGCCATTTCGTGAGCGCATTTCGATCTGCACGAGGAGGTCAAGACGGCCATGTAATGCCAGCAGGCGATCTTGGAAAGCAACACGGGATGCAATTGTAGTGTGAAGTTTGGTTAGCCGTTTCGCGAGTTGTGGGTCCTACGAAAAATGCTATGTGAGCCCCGGGCCCGATCGAATGATTGACAAGGGTTAGTAAACTCACAGTTAAGAGGAATGACACATGTACAATGAGAGTTGCACGCAACCACTTCATCAACACATTTTAAGACCTTTAAACCCGCTGAACCTATACCACGACATAGACGGGATACACATTCCTGAATCAACGGCGCCGCAAATATGGCTGGCGACTTCCGTATAGTATTTACAACGACCGAGTCTTCACTGGTATTGAGCACTGTCTCGAGGAGCTCTGAGTCACTGGTATGTAATGCCTGAACAAGCGTCCGAATGAGGAAGAGCGGGTCAGAGGGCTTTGATATGAATAAGTCTCTTGTGCCCTCGGCCACTAAGTCTAAGTCCAGCGTTGAGAGGGGCGGAGGGGCAGAGGCGATGGGAAGTTTCTCTCCTGGAGAAAGCTCAGCCATATCACCATCCAGTTCAGCTTCATTGTTCAGAGCAGCATAAGGGTCTTCTCCGTCTGACACCAATTCGTTCCCTGTGCAAAGAGTAGATTCTTCTGCCTCGCGGTACCGTTGGATGGGGATCTACAAGACGCGCACATATCCGTAAAAATAATAATGTTTGTCTCGAGTGAGAGTTGCTCACCCGGGTTGGAAAGGGGAGCTTCGAGTTCGATTTGGGGTATATGGACATGAATACTGGTCGTGCGCCTCTGATATAACGGGCAATGCGTATTACCGGGGCTTCTTTGTTGCTGGCGGCAAAGCCTGCCGTGGCCACCAAAGGCTCAGAAGGTCCGGTGACAATGCTCGAGCCTACCCTGAGGTTGATCGGGGGTGCCTGCTTTTTTGAGGGCGATGATACAATAGTGATCGGTATCGGGTAGACATGGAGAGACCCTGATGCTGAAAGAACCAGTAGAGATATGGATGACGAAGTCTTGGAAAATTCAATGAACCGCACATCAGTGTCAAAAGGAATGGAAGCTATTAATATTCCCTCTTTGATATTAAAGGACGATGAACTGTCGCGGTCATCCAGGTCGCCTAGCGCAGGGATTTTCCAAATCGAAACGAAGCGGTCACCCTCCGCAATCGAGGCAACTATTTGAGAATCTGATTCACCATCGGAATAGGAGACGGAAATCCATCGAAGACACAAAAGGCGGGAAGCATGATCAATGAATGTAGCAAGTTCGCGCAATTGGCTGGGTTGCGAGTGTCATCTACGTCATCTGCCTCCCTTGCGAGGCGCACGATTTTAATGGAATTATACCCTACGAATAAGGTATCCACATGGCTGCTCTTCGAAGAGAAGTGGGTTATGGAGAAGTAAGGTGTGCGACCAGTCCCAGTGGCCCCAAGGTGTGAGGAACAACTGTTGATCAATTGCCCGCTCTTGAGACTCCACGTGTTGAGGATCCCATCCTGGTCCGATGTCCAAATCCCTATGTTTGCTTTCGGGAATCGTTATAGAGAGAATGCTAGATGCGGATCTCGGACTCGACAATGAATGCATGACTTCACTCGAGCAAGGCGAAAAAATCGTGATGTCCCCGGAGGAGAAGCTAATTACCAAATATTGTTGCTGAATTGAACTATGTAGCCTCCTGGGCTTCTAAAGCTGTCTCGCTATTCCGCTTCTCTCTGCTCTTGTGGCCTCATCGGTGTTCCGAGGGCTTAATCCATTGCATACAGGGGACAAGAGCATCCTCTCCGACAAGATCTTTTCAGTGGAAGTGCTAAATACGCGTAACCAATGTTTGTCGACCGAGAGTGAGATATGTGCAAAGAGGTCGCCCGGAAATGACGCTATCAAGGGCTGCTTCTACGATGACTGGTACGAGCCGAACACGCGGGCGTATTCGCTTCCTTTTAGGCTGTGAATCCTGCTTGCTCTTCTTCGATCAGTTTTGCCGCAGAGCTGTAAGCGCCGATCACAACAGACGTCAACACCAGCTGAATTTCAATACAACCGTGTTCTCAACGTCACCATCTTGATGTTGACTCCAATAATGTGGAGCCCTTTCTCCTATAAAGCTGGCGAGATGGGGGCTCTCTTTCCCTAAAGACGTGTTGTACATAAGTATGCCTTCCGTCACCGCCGACACTGAGAACCTTTTCTTCGCCTTGTTGAATATTCTTCTTCGCCTTGTTCAGGGCGTCCTGGACGTGCTCCAATCTGGTATTATCGTAATACAGGCCATGGTATCGTCCACACGGAAACTGACTGAGCTTCTCCACTCGGTTGCTCAATTGCTGACTGGCGCGGCAGCCTTTATTACAGGCAAGTGATTCGTTTTTTGTGCATCTTCCTCGACCAGTTTTACATTGGAATGCAGGCAATATTGTTGGAATACTGGTCCTCCTTTCCATTTACATTGGATACCAGAAACTCTACGCCAAGGGACAGAGAGGCAAGAAGCTCAGGTAGGAGAAGTGGAGCCGCTAGATCACCTTGCAGTCCCTCCGAATGCGCTTCGATTACTTTCCATGTAACAACTGACCCTTGATAATGTTTCCCCCATCATTCATATGACTTGTATTGGCGTGTATTGTCAATTCGTGTCTAGCACCAGTGTTCTAGAGGCCGAGCTCAACAAGCCACGACCGCATTCATCACGTTTAGTTGGGTCGTTGTACTCTTCCAGAGGAGCGGTAGCGCCTGTCCTGCTCAGACACATGTCATATGACAACATGGTATCAACCATACCACGAAGAACAGTGTTGGCGGCTAAGAAGTGGCAGCCTCAAATTGCAGCACCAATCGAACAGCCGAGCGAGATGCCATCGAGACCCTGCCGACCAACATCGAACGAGGACGAAGAAGATGGTCACCGAGCAGAATATGCATGGAATTGGGGACATTGGAAACGGTGGTTCCACGGTGGAGCTAACTCGATGCAGGAAGGTTCAATGACGTGCAAAAAACGCAAGCACTGCGAAACATCTACGACGCTAGCTAACAATCAAGCGAGAAGTGCGAAGCTTCTAGGAATGCCGGTGCCCGAGGTCCCGTCTCATGACATCTTGTCCAATCGGCTCATCGATTTCGGACAACCTCGATGACGCAATCAACCTTTGGAAACGGGGATCAAGATTTTCTCTTGAGCTATTACATACGTACTAGCATGTTACACTCATTGTTGAATAGACTAATTTGCCTAGCGTGTTACGCTAGGATACATGAGTGCATGTCAGTCATAAAGACTGACATGAAAGAGAAAATGAAGTCTCACCTCAGTATCAAACGTTGTTGAACTGAGGGAGACGTAAGTGGAAGACTATTCTCTGCTGTTATAAGCAGTCGATCAATGCACACTGTCATTAATGGTAGCAGGAATACCAAGAAAGGAAAAATGACGCCGCAGGCTCAACATCACGTTATGAGTCCGCCACATGCACAGCGTACCATGCGAAATTCAACAGTAGCTGGTCATATTATCGGGTGGGGTGCTTGTCCGACCGTTTTTGGGTACGTATGTTTGACTTGCGCCTACTCTGCCTTGATTTCTCCTGCTCACAATACAAAGGACCGTTGCCCTTGTTTATTTCATCTTTCACACTTGCGATAACGAATCTTCCCCGGATCAATCAATATCTCAGCTAGGTTCTGACACTCTCTGTGATTCCTCCTGTCAGGTGAGTGAACTAGTATAAGGTCACTGAAATTAGGAATGCAAGCTAGATATGAACTAGCAAGGAAACTATGGGACCTAGCTGTGGCTCAGGTCCGCATTCGCTTCAGTCAAGGGGTCGACGGTAAGCGCCAGTTATGGCGCGCGTACGTGACGTACGTAAGCGGAGGCTGGGCTAGCTAGTCTTAAAATTTTATATGAGCCCTAGGATGCAGGCAAGTGGGCACCAGCTGTGCGTGCGTCATGCAATGTCGGCCTCGAACGTTCTCTGCGAGGAACTTCCTTTTCTGTTTGATCAAGGGCTGAGATTCCTGAATAGCACCCCGGAGTGTACAAGGTCCATACCACTATCAGCGTCCTCACGGTGTCCGTAGAACTGTTTCGGTGCCGATTGCGGTGTTCACTTGGTTGAGGCCGTATGACGTCACATCCACGCACACACTTTGATGGCTTTCCCGCCGTTGTCACATCATCTTACAGCACCACGCATGATTCGCGTTCCCCTATGAAGCACAGGGTGTGTGGCCGTACTGTACTGGAATTGTATTCACACCCAGTTCGCAAAGTAGCTCACCCAGCTTAACTTTGAACTAAACACCACTTTGCATACATATTATATATGGCCTTAGGCTCCCAGAAAGATGACAGGAAACGGTAGAGAATATAAAGGAATGTCCGAGAATGGCAAGAATTATCAAAAGTATGAGTTCAACTGTCGTTATACCCGCTGGAGGAAAGCACTCGTTGTGATCAGCTACGTCAAGAACATGCTGAAACGGTGAAGAAGGGCGGGTAAAACCATTCCTTAGCACACGCAATGCCAAAACCCACTGGACGTGTAACCAAATGTCTCCGGCTCCGTCCTGTCATCTTAGCCCCCTCACGCTCAACACACCAGTCGAATGAAGGATATAACACTTCCAATATATCCTTGCATGGCTCAGAAAATACGCCACTGAATCCATAACCAGCATTGCTGCTCCTTCGGAAGTGGAGTCCCCAGACGATAAAGATGACAACCCTGATGAATCAGAATAAAGTGTGGACGATAGTACGGAGGGCCCGGAACTAGACGACAAAGAGGGGAGGGATGGTATATTCGTCCATCAATGATCGTTTCGATAGAAGGATCGGATCAGAGGAAAGCGATGTAAGGAATGTAGGGAGGTTTGAACCGCAGGTGTTTCCCAGTATGTACTGTACTAGTAGGTCCGATGTGAAAAGTTGTCGGGACAGGAGATGAAGTATGTTTGAGATTTCAGACATGATGGCTGGGTCACAGTCGGCACGCGTGGCATCTGCGGCGAGTTTGCCGAATCAAGTCCAAAACTCGCGAAACCCGCCACGGTTGACGTCACCCCAACGCAAATGTTGATATCACACGCTTCGGACTTGGTGCTCCACTCGAACACATGTGGCGACGATTTCACACGTGTACTGCTTATCAAGTGTTGAGTCGAAGCTTGATGTCGATCGCTCTTCCGTATTGGAGTTGCACATCCCCAAGCTGTCACTGTACACCGTTATCCCTTCACTCCCCTGACCCGATGCACCGGATAGTGTCGACCTCCCGATTTCGTCTTTCCATTGTGCCAACTTGCATCATCCATCCAGACCTCAGGCTCGATCAACGTCATCGCTTATGGTACCGTGGTGTGCAGACAAACGGACCGGTACATCAGCATGAGCAAACAGGAGGAGAAATGTGTTAGGCGAAGAAATGGGGCATCTTCGAGGTGAAATTGTTATTGTAAGATCATGATGCGCCCGCGATTCGTTCTGAGCGTATCGGCATGTAGATATTTTATCCATAGTTTGCAATCAAAAAAATGGAGGTTGAATTTGTTGGTGTTCCCGAGCCGAATATATATCCATGCCCACCATGTGCAGGCAGCAATGTGAAGGATGCAGTGACGAGGAGAACATGCTCAAATGTGGACCATTCGTGCCTCGGAATGACGTCCGAGATTGGTAAGAGCTTCCCGTAGGTTCTCGACTGATCTGGCCAATTCTCGGGTGTATGCTCCTGGGTTAAAAGTGACTAGCTGGTGGTAGAGTTTAACACTTTCTTCGATGAATGGGAGCGCCTCCGAGTGTTGTCCGAGATCCGAAAGAGCAGTATATAGATTGTTGAGTGATATGGCCAATTTTGGGGTGTATGATCCTGGGTTAACGGCAACTAGCTGGCGGTAGAGGATGACGCTTTCTTCAATGAATGGGAGCGCCTCCGAGTGTCGTCCAAGATCCGAAAGAGCAGTATATAGATTGTTGAGTGATATGGCCAATTTTGGGGTGTATGATCCTGGGTTAACGGCAACTAGCTGGCGGTAGAGGATGACGCTTTCTTCGATGAATGGGAGCGCCTCCGAGTGTCGTCCGAGATCTGAAAGAGCGTTACATAGATTGTTGAGCGACATGGCCAATTTTGGGGTGTATGATCCTGGGTTAACGGCAACTAACCGGCGCCGGAGTTTGTTGCTTTCTTCGATGAATGGGAGTGCCTCCGAGTGTTGTCCGAGATCCGAAAGAGCAATATATAGATTGTTGAGTGACGTGGCCAAATCCGGGGTGTATGATCCTGGGTCAACAGCAACCAGCTGGTGGTAGAGTTCAACACTTTCTTCGATGAATGGGAGCGCCTCCGAGTACCGTCTGAGATACGAAAGAGCATTATGTAGATTGTTGAGTGACGAGGCCAAATCCGGGGTGTATGATCCTGAGTTAACGGCAACTAACTGGCGGTAGAGTTTGACGCTTTCTTCGATGAATGGGAGCGCCTCTGAGTGTCGTCCAAGTTTGGAAAGGGCATTACATAGATTGTTGAGTGACGTTGCCAAATCTGGGGTGTATGATCCTGGGTTAAGAGCAACTAGCTGGCGGTGGAGTCTGACACCTTCTTCGATGATTGGGAGCGCCTCCGAGTGCCGTCCGAGTTTGGAAAGGGCATGCCATAGACTGTTGAGTGACTCGGCCAAGTGCGGGGTGTAGGAACTCGAGTCCACAGAAAAAAGGTAACGGCAGAGTACAACAGAATCATCTGCTGCCTCATATGCCTCCTGGAATCGTGAGAAAAATCCCAAATTGAAGCAAAGCTGGGTAAGCACATTAGCCAGTGTGCTGAAAGCATCTTCCGACTTGTGGACAACAGCCAACTGGATAAAATCATGAGCCAGTTTCATTAACATAATTTGTCGATAACCCATACCTTGGCCCACTCAGGGAGTAATAAGATCCTGATGTAGCTTTCCATTCTCACACAGACTTCCACCCACCGAGTTGCTTGCTGACTCAGAAACATACTAACTGGCCCAGCAAGCTCCTCGGATGGTTCCTTGACTCCACTGAGGTGATGGACAATGTGGTGACATGCGTAACGAAAGTGCTCAGATAGCTCCTTTGGAGGAATATGCGGCATTTCATCTTTTTCGAACAACTTCCCAATCAGGCCCAAGCCCTCTACAGAGCAGAGACCCTCATTCAAAATCTCGGTGCATCGCAGGGCAACCCTGGCATTATCCACCCCCACAGCTATGGGAGCGCAACGAGAGCTGATTGTTTGGGGATCGATCCGATCGACAATAAAATCGCGGAAAGATAGGTGTAAGATGCGAATAGGAATGTGGGAATCCTCAACTCCTGAGAGCAGAGGAGCAAGCTCAGCCAACGCATATTGAACAGAAGAATTGAGAAAAGGTGACAAAATTGCATCCCAGGCTGCGACAGACAGAGGCTGCTGAGCAACAAAGATCGCTCCCATCACAATCGGGTAGTCATGCGCGAAATCTTCATCCTCCCAATCAAACTTCTTCAAAATCCTCGTATACAGGTCATCCATCATCTTCTCAGTGGGCACCTTTGATCGTTTGGTCCCGGTGTCGAGCAGGCTCTCTAGTGTTATCATAGGATTCTTCCTAGGCTTCTTCATGTAGCGAAAGACGGTGCTGATCCAAATAAACAAACCACCCGCTCGTTCCAGGATCTCCTGCACCACACTATCCTCATCCTGGAGTTTATGCGCTAAATCGGGATGCCAATTCTTCAGCTCTTGCAGCTGGGAGCGGATGTATGCAGCACAGTCATGCATATTTGTGTCGTCCAGGAGATCAATGGTGAGGTGATCGATAGGAAAATGGCGTGAGAGGGAGCGATTAACAAGATCAACATGTCTCGAAGTAACGAAAAACTTTATGGAAGATGATAGCTTGGGTACTTCCTCGCAAAGAATCTTAGCAAGGGGTTGATATGCTTCTTCATCGCATTCATCTAAAGCGTCGATGATGATCACCATGGGACAGTCGGAAGGCGGAGGTTTATGGAGTAGAGATGGAGCCACCAATTTCTTGAACTGCATCGTGAATGAAGCTGTTGAGAGACTAGGGTCGCTTCGAAGAGCAGAGGTAATGAAAGTGCGGTAAATGGGGTCATGGTCTGCCAAAGCTCGAGCCATGCCACTGAATAGAAGATCAGGCCGCGACCGTTCACCTGCTTTGAAGAAGAAGTGCAATAACAGGGTAGCATCCCCTTCGCTGGCACATCGTTCTGCTATCGTGAGTGCAATCGAAGTCTTGCCAGCGCCGGCCACGGCAGTCAACAGCATTAGCCGGTTCTCACTATCCCCAGTGTTGCGGCACCATCCCATGATACGCTCAACGAGATCAACTCTAGTGTCTTTCAGGCACACCTGAGTGGAATCATCATGGGCAAGATGAAAGTATCGGAGATTATCGAGAATCTTGTCATCGTGTAGACGGCGTTCTATGGCCGCTAATTTGGAGCCAGTCATTAAGTTCGTGCTAAGCTGCATCGGCCGAAAATCAGAATGTTATGGAACGATACTGTAAGGAAAGCTACCTGAAACGATGCCAATGCTTTGTCAAAATCTTTCTTTAGGCCGTCAATTCTTCCCGGGTCTCTCAAGTAGGAGAATGTTTTTCTGATAGCCGATCGTTTTTCTACGTTTTCCCGTCTTTCAATTTCGGACGTAATCTTCTGTAGCGCGCTAGGACTTGATGTGAGTACGATATCGAGGACCACCAAAACGGATACAGACTTACCCATCAAGCTCTGTGGCGCTTTCCACCCATGGCTTTGCCTCTTCCGCTGACACATCATCGGACTTTATGGCTGAAGATACCTTGGTCATGGCGCTCGCTACGTATTCACCGAAATCAGTCCATTCCTTTGCGTTCTCCTTGAACTTCTACGTGGCGCAAACCAGTGTGAGCTTTCATTCGTGGACAAGCATAAATCATTACCAACTTTCACTTCGTCGAAGATGAAAAGTGCAGCGCTAGTCGCACTCTTTAGGGGTGGACACCAATCAGCCGCGGCATTGACGCCTCTAAGAGTTAAAACCGCCGGGTTACCCCCCCCTGCGAGGAGATCATTGGTCTTTTGCCTCAGAGTTTCAGCCTCTTGCTGCAGCGACATGGTCGATAACGGACAAGTAGATGGAGGACAGAGCTTTGGGCACGCAGCACACGTGTGAGCCCCTAAACTAGAGCCACGAGGCCTCCGTCTGATTATGGAAGATTGAGGATGGATATGATATGTGCATTGACTATTCGGTCGACATCATGCAGCCTGGGACCTATCAGCGGCAAATTCTAGGGGTGACATGACCAGTAGTATCATGCCGCCTAGAACTGGAAGCAGGATGAATGTGATTAGGAATCAGAACTAGATATGGGCGCGGCGACCGCTTCGTACAGAGAGCCGGCGGTAAACGCCGGTGGGGGAAGCGTACGCGACGTATGTCAGTGGAGGCTGGGATCCAGTCTAGCCTTTCATCAGGGTCTTGGAGTGCTTTCATGTGCTTCACTAATAGGATGCCGGGAAGTGGCCGGGCGCCGGCTTTGCGCTCGTTAATGCCTCCTTGGACAATAAAGATACTTATCGTTACTGGCGATGCACTTCAATTTGGTTGATAGGCTTTGTTGATGCGCCAACACATTGGTGGCACCAGTTTCCGATACTCAGTACCCCAGTTTTCGTATGGGGAGAAGCAATAGGTTCGGCCAACTCTGACGCAGAAATCAAGGCTCAGGTACAGTCTCTCGCAAGTCCGTGGTAAAGGGGTCCATGCTTTTTCGCCAAATTGTGGCGTCTTTCAAACCACAGTGCAGCAATTAGCATTTGTTTTCACTGGCCATCTAGGACTACATGATCACCCAGCCCGAAATTTATCTCATTTAACACTCCCGCTAATACCCATGTCAATCACCGTGTCAATTTTCCAGGTCAAATCCTTACGGTGCTCGTTGACATTTAGGGTTGACTCCAGCCGACACACAACCATACGATCGTGCTCACTCTGGCTGAGAAACATCCCTGTTAATTCACCAAGCGTGAGTGCGCAGAGAACCTGCCCCTTACACATGCATCTCCATGTGGCACTCCTGTTCAGGCATGGGTTTTGTACTCAATATGCCTGGACATCGAGCCTGAAATCCAACCGGTCACAGGAATTGCCGATATGTGTCTCGGGACCGCTCGACGCCGAGTGGGCGCGTTGAAGGAACATCTCTTTCACTTCTATCGGTGTACTGAATGTCGAAGCGGTTGAGCCGCGGTTTGTTAATGCGACGCCGGTTCTTACTGAGGTGCACACAAATCTCACTTCAGTCCAAGGAGCTCAACCAATGATGATGCGATCCCTCTTCCTCTGCCCTCGCGCCTCTTCCCGCCGCCATCCTAGTGCACCTCACTATGCCATTTTCCGTAACGGTCTCGTTCTATTCTCTTTCTTACCCTCCCTTCTCCCTATCACAATTTCTGTCAAGTGCCCTACCTTTGGACATTTGTAAGGGAATGCAGGCAGAAACGATGGCGCCTGATTTGCTACGACATTTTACTGTAACAAGGACTCCTCCGCCAATGTCTCATCGCCATCACTACTGAGTATAACTGATTCTTTCCCCCCTTTTATTGTGGATTACTGCTCTGCTTTGAGGTGGGTTGTGTTGGAAACAAAGGCTTATTGGTTTCTTCCTCCTTTTCGTCCACGAAACTTGGGAACGGGCCCTTAAAAACTCCCGAAACGTTAATCTCTCAGGACAGCCATTTCGAATTCGTCTGTGTGTCGGGTCGCCTGTGTCTAGGCAGTAATGGTTTGGGTGGAAACGGGATATTCGCGTACCTACGTGGCTTTGCACTACGCGTCAAACTATCTCCGGACTCTTCTGCCTTTCGCCCTCCACTCGTAACCAACCTCCATGCTCCGACCCTCCTTCCCTTCATCCTATCATACCCGATACCCTCATGCTTCTTCGGCAAACCCGCACAAGAATAGGCGCCCAATGTCAGCCAAATTCCCGACTCCCCCTGGCGAAACTTCACAAGCCCATTTCTGTCCGCTTCGCATCGCTCTCTAAAGTGAATGATATAGGAGGTGTCGTCTGGGACCCTTGTCTTTGACCTTGGAATTGTGCAGTCGTTTCTGCTGACCGACCACTTTCATCCCAGCATTTTCTTCCCGCATCTATGATTACTCTCCATACCTCTCCATACCGAAGGCTTCGATTCTTGAGGTCCATTCGGACTATCAGCCAATATTTTCGATTTACATCAGACAGAGACGACGCTCTTCGGATAGAACGTCCATATAGCCCATGGTTTTCTGAATTAAGCGGTAGAAGGTGATTACACTCTAAAGGAGTGGGTGATACTGTCGACATCCGTGGCCTTGGTTCCCACTTTGAGTTTCGTAAAAATGGATGATGGCAATTCCATCCTGCGTAGACTTCTGGTGGAGCCGGCGTCACGTCCTTCTTCTTTCAGCTGCTTTTTTTTTTTTGCAAGTTCGGGTAAAGAGACGGCGACACCACGCATTGCTCTGCGTCATTCTTCACCTAATCCTGAAGAACTCCCACTGTCCATGATTCTCTCAAGGATTCACTTGCGCTTTGAGACAGATCGCTGTATCGAGTACAAGAATACGGAGATTCTCAGAAATGAATTGATTCCCTTACCAAGCTCGGCCCCTAGAGCTCCGCCATTCATATTCGCACTCCAGAGTCAAAAAGTCCTATTAGTAAGGATCCTAGATGCATATGGACATCGCGTGCAGGTAGCGTTGGTAGTCAGATCGATCCACTAACCGGGCAAGCGACATGAGGAATTCATAGATGAAAGGAAGCGCCTATTGAGGTGACTTGCACCGATAGAGCTGAAAGACTGGACGATGACTGAGCAAATTACCGAGAGTGAATAATGGCGAGTACGTCGGTGAGTAACATCGGCCAACCTTGGTCCCTAGTTGAGTGGAAATATGGTCTTACCGTACAAATCTGATGGTCCAGAACTAGAGGGTTCAATGCGCAGTCTGTAATGGTCGTCTCCAGGATATCCTATGCGCGTGATGGGTACCGTGATGGCTGCCCACCTAGCTGCGGAGGTGACCGATCAGAAGCAGTCTTGAGATAAAACCGCTCTAATATGTAAAACAAACTGAACAGCGTTGAGTTGAGTGGGATTATGAGCCCGGAGGAGAACAGCTAGAATGACCGAGTACGTCGCCAAATACTGATATGAGTAAAAAAAGGGGAATGGCTTAGGTTACAACGCACTCATCCCAAATGCGTGTTTGAAGGGCCTTCCACGTTCGGAAATGTCGCACGAGGCCCTCTTTCGTCTCAACCGTTTTTCCCCACCTGAAAGTTCCGCTCCCACTGTCTGACGAGCCAGAAATCCACGGAATGAAGTGATGGGAACGAATCATCCCAGCATCATCGTCATTAAGGAGAAAGGGGTATGGAAATAGCCCCTCCTATTTGGCTCGCTCAGATCGTGAATTACCCTGACCGAAATGCTGATTCTCCCGGATGGAGGAACAGTGCTAGAAACGGTGAATATGCGAGGAAGGATGCTTTGGATAGAGGCAAGCATCACTTCGCTTCCTGGGTCAACCTACGCACCCAAAGAAGCAGCGGGACGACAACGTCGGGACTTGTCATACAGAAACCATACTGAATAAAAGGTGATACGGCCCGGCTGCCAAACTTGGCTAGCTGCGCACATGGTGTGAAGGCGGATAACGAATTGGAATGACATCAAAACATGGAGGATTCCACATGAAGGAGAACACGCTCCCATGCAACAGGAACGATCTCGATGATCAATGTCGCTGTCCGTTGAACCGCTTGGTGCAACAATGGTGTTTCTCAAAACTGAGGAATGGCGTCCGCTTTGCACCGTGTGGTAATACTGTATCCACGGGGATCCAATGTGATTCACAAGCTAGGATAGGAAATAGCAGGTGGCCCCCTAGACTTGGTTAACGACACTGTCGAATACTCCACCATTAATCCCTAGGGACTCCACGAGTGTCACGCGCGCAGCAGGTAGACAGTACCAGAATAATCCAGACCATCCAATGGCTGGGAAAGCTGGCGCATCCGTAGGTGTTAGGTCATTCGTGTTGCCAAAAGAGTCTGGGAGTGCAAGTGCCATCAGGCAAAGTAGCGAGCCCGGAAGCATGTTCCATAGCGCAATCATATCCGAAACTATAGCCTTCGGAAACAGCCTGAGAGTGATCGAGTTGGAGAACGAAGAGAAAGCGTATGCAAAAGGATTGTCTGAGCTCGTTGTAGAAGTGGGATTTTGAGGTGATTGCACTTTTGAACATGAACAAGAGCACGGCAGGATATCTAGGTTGTCCTTGATCAGACCGCCAAGAGACACTGGCACCATCGAGTATCGGCGGTTTCGTGCCGAGCAATATTAACGGGGCAAGCGGCGCTAATTTATCGCATTCTACCTCTACTGACATAAGTGCTACATCAGCGTGCTTCTTCATTCAATCCAGAGTGTTACTTAATTGATTCACGAAGATGGACAAAGTAATCGACATTAACTTCCTAATTATGATCCGGGTGGCGCACAGTCGCGGAGCAGGTCCATTCTAGGGTTAGGACCAACCTTACTTATTCACTATCCTGCTTACCGAACAAACGTTTTTGGCCGGAGAGGACAGTCAGTTGTAGCAGGAAGGGTCTTCAAGGTAGGGATAATCGCCTGGAAGTGCACATGTCTCTGAATTTCATCGTTTGATGAACGACATCCAGTAGTAGCACTAGTCATGTAGTTACCAGGATACATGACCATCCGACGACACCTACATTTGATGGCCACGAGATGTGGTAATACAGCGCAGATCAAACACGGGACGCACCCAAACTAGTAGGGAAGGCATGGCGGAACACCGATGGGCAGTCGTCATAGAATTTTGGGCAGCGAAATTCGGTTGGATCATAAAGTGTTGGGAAAAAGCGCGTGGTAAGCTAGGATCTGACTTAAGTGGACCAAGTGGCCGCGTTCGACCGCCAATCGACTTGTGCTTCGTCTCAACCAATTTACATCATCGATCGATCCAAACTCCGACGCCATTGGTTACGCAGAAACAATGTGCTCTGCAATCCCCCGACGTGCAAGCACCATTTCGATCCGTCCGTCAGGTACGTGAGAAAGAGAGTGGCAGCCGTCACTCAACTTTCCACCATGCTCCATTCGCGTGTTTCAACTCTTTTCGTCTTTTCCTTAGCGCTTTCGTTGGCCTGCTGCCGCTACCTCTCGTACAATCACTGCAACCACGACGTCCCATTCATCTTCTAGAGCAGTAACGCGGATAACAAGAAGACGAGGGATTCGGATGGAGGAACGTATGATGACCCTTCCGGGACGGACGACCATTGGGATGTTCGTCCTTGGTGGAGATGGGATCATGGTCCTTACTCGGATGACTGGCCATCGACGACGAAGATGAAAACCCTGACAAATCAGAATAAAGCGTATGGACGATAGTATGGAGGGCCCGGAACCAGACAACAAAGAAAATGGAGCTTCGATGGAAAGATCGGATCAGAGGAAGGCGATGTAGGAATGCAGGGAGGGTTGAACTGCAGGTGTTTCCCAGGATGTACTAGTGGGTCCGATGTGAGAAGTTGTTGGGCCAAGAGACGAGGTATGTTAGATATTTCAGACATGGTGGCTAGGTCACATTCGGCGCGCATGGCATCCGCGGCGAGTTTGCCGAATCGAGTCCGAAACTCGCGAAGCTAACGTCACCCCAATGCCAATATTGATATCACACTCTTCAGACTTGGTGCTCCACTCGAACATATGTGGCGACGATTCGACACGTGTACATACTGCTTATCAAGACAATAGTGCCAAGTCAAAGCTCGATCTCGATCTCTCTTCCGTATTGGAGTTGGACATCCCCAAGCTGTCACTGCACACCGTTATTCTTTCACTCCCCTGGCCCGATGCACCGAATAGTGTCGACCTGCCGATTTCGTCTTTCCATTCTGCCAACTTGCATCATCCATCCAGACCTCAGGCTCAATTGACGTCATCGCTTATGGTACCGTGGTGTGCAGACAAATGTCAGCAATGAGCAACAGGAGGAGAAATGTGTTAGGCGAAGAAATGGGCATCTTTGAGGTGAAATTGTAATTGTAAGATCATGATGCGTCTGTGATTCGGTATGAGCGTATCAGCATGTAGATATTTTATCCACAGTTTGCAATCAAAGAAATCGAGGTTGGATTTGTTGGTGTTCCCGAGTCGAATATATATCCATGCCCATCATGTGCAGGCAGCAATGTGAAGGATGCAGTGACGAGGAGAACATGCTCAAATGTGGACCATTTGTGCCTCGGAATGGCGTCCGAGATTGGTAAGAGCTTCCCGTAGGTTCTCGACTGATGGGGCCAATTCTCGGGTGTACGCTCCTGGGTTAATAGTGACTAGCTGACGGTAGAGTTTAACACTTTCTTCGATGAATGGGAGCGCCTCCGAGTGTCGTCCGAGATCCGAAAGAGCAGTATATAGATTGTTGAGTGATGAGGCCAAATCCGGTGTGTATGACCCTGGGTTAATGGCAACTAGCTGGCGGCAGAGTTTGACGCTTTCTTCAATGAATGGGAGCGCCTCCGAGTGTCGTCCAAGATTGGAAAGAGCATTATATAGATTGTTGAGTGACCTGGCCAAATATGGGGTGTATGGCCCTGGGTTAACAGCAACTAACTGGCGGCGGAGTTTGGTGCTTTCTTCAATGAATGGGAGCGCCTCCGAGTGCCGTCCAAGATTGGAAAGAGCATTATATAGATTGCTGAGTGACACAGCCAAATCCGGTGTGAATGACCCTGGGTTAACGGCAACTAGCTGGCGGCGGAGTATGACGCTTTCTTCAATGAATGGGAGCGCCTCCGAGTGTTGTCTGAGATCGGAAAGAGCAATATATAGATTGTTGAGTGACAGGGCCAAATCCGGGGTGTACGATCTTGGGTTAACAGCAACTAACTGGCGGTAGAGTTTGACGCTTTCTTCGATGAATGGGAGCGCCTCCGAGTGTTGTCCGAGATCCGAAAGAGCATTATATAGATTGTTGAGTGACATGGCCAAATCCGGGGTGTATGATCCTGGGTTAACAGCAACTAACTGGCGGTAGAGTTTGACACTTTCTTCGATGAACGGGAGCGCCTCCGAGTGTCGTCCGAGTTTGGAAAGGGCATTACGTAGATTGCTAAGTGACATGGCCAAATCCGGGGTGTACGATCCTGGGTTAACGGCAACTAACTGGCGGTAGAGTTTGACGCTTTCTTCAATGAATGGGAGCGCCTCCGAGTGTCGTCCGAGATCTGAAAGAGCATTACATAGATTGTTGAGTGACACAGCCAAATATGGGGCGTATGATCCTGGGTTAACAGCAACCAGCTTGCACCGGAGTTTGACGCTTTCTTCGATGAATGGAAGTGCCTCTGAGTGCCGTCCAAGATTAGAAAGGGCATGGCATAGACTGTTGAGTGATGTGGCCAAATCCAGGGTGTAGGAACTTGAGTCCACAGAAAAAAGGTAACGGCTGAGTACAACAGAATCATTTGCTGCCTCATATGCCTCCTGGAATCTTGAAAAAAATCCCAAATTGTACTGAAGCTGGGTAAGCACATTAGCCAGTGTGCTGACAGCATCTCCCGACCTGTGGACAACAGCCAACTGGATAAGATCATGAGCTAGTTTCATTAACATAATTTGTCGATAACCCATACCTTAGCCCACTCAGGGAGTAACGAGATCCTGACATAGCTTTCCATTCTCACACAGATTTCCACCCACCGAGTTGCTTGCTGACCCAGAAACATACTAACCAGCCCAGCAAGCTCCTCAGAGGGTTCCTCGACTCCACTGAGGTGATGGACAATGTGTCGACATGCATAACGAAAGTGCTCAGATAGCTCCTTTTGAGGAATATGCGGCATTTCATCTTTTTTGTACAAGTTTTCAATCAGGCCTAAGCCCTCTACAGAGCAGAGACCCTCATTCAAAATCTCGGTGCATCGCAGGGCAACCCTGGCATTATCCACCCCAACAGCTATGGGAGCACAACGAGAGCTGACTGATTGGGGATCAATCCGATCGACAATAAAATCGCGGAAAGATAGGTGTAAGATGCGAACCGGAATCAGGGAATCCTCAACTCCTGAGAGCAGAGGGGCGAGTTCGGCCAACGCATATCGAACAGAAGACTTGAGGAAAGGCAACAAAATCGAGTCCCACGCAGTGATGGACAGAGGCTGCTGAGCAACGAAGATTGCTCCCATCACAATTGGGTAATCGTGCGCAAAATCTTCATTCTCCCAAGCACACTTCTTCAAAATGCTTGTATACAAGTCTTCCATTATCTTCTCAGCAGGGACCTCTCGTTGTTTGGCACCAGTGTCGAGCAGACTTTTTAGTGTCCTCATAGGATTCTGGTTGGTCGTCTTCATGTAGCGAAAGATGGTGCTGATCCAGATAAACAACCCATTTGCTCGTGCCGAGATCTCCTGTACCATTTTATCCTCATCCTGGAGATTGCGCTGTAAATCCCGATGTAACATCTTTAGCTTTTGCAGCTGGAAGCGTATGAATCTAGCACAATCCTGCGCATTTGCTTCATCCGAGAGATCAATAGTGAGGTGATCAATAGGGTAATTGGGGGAAAGGTAGCGATTCACGAGATCAAATTGTCTCGATGTGATGAAGAATTTTATGGAAGATGGTAGCCTGGGCACTTCCTCCCCAAGAATTTCGGCAAGGGACTCGAACGCCTCTTTGTCACATTCATCTAAAGCATCAATGATGATCACCATAGGATGATTGGAAGGTGGAGGTTTACGGAGGAGAGACGGGGCGACCAATTTCTTGAACTGCGTCGTGAATGAAGCTGTTGAGAGACTGGGGTCCTTTCGAAGAGCAGAAGTAATGAAAGTGCGGTAAACAGAATCATGGTCTGCCAAAGCTCGAGCCATGCCGCTGAATAGAAAATCAGGCCGCGACCGTTCGCCCGCTTTAAAGAAGAACTGCAGTAACAGGGCAACATCCCCTTCGCTAGCACATCGTTCTGCTATCGTGAGTGCAATCGATGTCTTGCCAGCGCCGGCCACGGCAGTCAACAGCATTAGCCGGTTCTCACTATCCCCAGTGTCGCGGCACCATGCCATGATACGCTCAATGAGATCAACTCTAGTGTCTTTCAGGCACACCTGAGTGGAATCATCATGGGCAAGATGGGGGTATCGGAGACTATCGAGAATCTTGTCATCATGTAGACGGCGTTCTATGGCCGCTAATTTGGAGCCAGTTATCAAGTTCGTGCTAAGCTGCATCGGCCAAAAATCAGAATGTTATGGAACGATACTGTAAGGAAAGCTACCTGAAACGATGCCAATGCTTTGTCAAAATCTTTCTTTAGGCCGTCAATTCTTCCCGGGTCTCTCAAGTAGGAGAATGTTTTTCTGATAGCCGATCGTTTTTCTACTTTTTCCCGTCTTTCAATTTCGGACTTAATCTTCTGTAGCGCGCTGGGACTTGATGTAAGTACGATATCGAAGACCACCAAAACGGATGCAGACTTACCCATCAAGCTCTGTGGCGCTTTCCACCCATGGCTTTGCCTCTTCCGCTGACACATCATCGGACTTTATGGCTGAAGATACCTTGGCCATGGCGCTCGCTACGTATTCACCGAAATCAGTCCATTCCTTTGCGTTCTCCTTGAACTTCTACGTGGTGCAAACCAGCGTGAGCTTTCATTCGTGGACAAGCATAAGTCATTACCAACTTTAACTTCGTCGAAGATGAAAAGCGCAGCACTAGTCGCATTCTTTAGGGGTGGACACCAATCAGCCGTGGCATTGACACCCCTAAGAGTTAAAACCGCCAGGTTACCCCCCGTTGCGAGGAAATCATTGATCTTTTGCCTCGGAGTTTCAACCTCTTGTTTCAGCGACATGCTCGACAACGAACAAGTGGATGGATGAGAGCGCTTTGGGCACGCAACACACGTGTGAGCTCAGAAGCTAGAGCCACGAGGCTTCCGTCTGATTATGGAAGGTTGAGGAAGAATATGATATATGCATTTGGTCGATGCCAAAATCCAACAAATTCCATGACCCGAACTAGTTAGGTAATTGGCATGGATCATAACATCAAGTCCTCGCTTCTCTACTGTTCTCTACTACACGAGAGCCCGTATCATGCCGCCTAGAACGATGAGCGTGATTAGGAGCGAACAAGGACTGTGTGATGATGATGATGATAAATCTATCTCAATACCCCGCGGCTTTGTGATGTCGTGGCAGTGCGGCTGTCCCATCAATACATCGTAGTGGAACTTTCTATACATGATATGTGAGTAATCTGGAGTAATCTGGTTGGTATTGTCTGGTGTGGGACGTCACACTGAGGGACTGGTTGCAGCCGGCGGTAAGCGCGCGGTGGGGCACGTGTACGCGATGTGCATCAGCGGAAGCTGAGATCCAGTCTAGCCTTTCATCACGGTTTTGGAGTGCAACCAGCCTTCATACAAACTTTACTAGTAGGATCCCGGTAAGTGGCCGAGCGCCAGCTTTGTGCTCGTTAATGCCCAAAAAATGGGCCTCGGACAAGTATAGAGGCTTATTGTTTCTTTTTTTCAATAAAATCGTTCTCTGACGTTGTGACAAGTGAGTTAATCGCCTCATCCCGGGACATCGAGGGCGTAGGATGTAAGTTCGGACCCAGTTGGGTTAGCTCCCTAATTTATGTCTTGCCTCTGGATGGCCATGCGTTTGGGTTATTTAACTTGCGCATAGTGCAGGTGAGTACTCGCTGAACTGGTTCAGGGTTCCCTCGGTGAGCAAACGGGATTGACCACATACAGGAAGCGCAATCGGGCCAATTGTGGCTAGTAATGATATGCATGTCTTATCACTTTACTTACTCTCCCCTTGTCATAGATTGGCGGTCAGGTGCGCATCAACACTCAGAACCTTAATTTGGAACTTAGCTTGGTTAGATGTACGACCATGCACGCCGTGGGTGGGCGGTTTTTCACTTCTCTCTTAGACTTTGTGCGGCAGTCCTTAGCCTTGGCTGCACAGGCAAAAGGCCATTGCTGAGGCGCTGCATCAATGAGCTGAAGCCTCTACACTGATATTTACTTTCTTCGGGTTGTTGGCGCTGACAGTGGCTGTACATAATTGCTTGACATTTCGGCGTCTCCCGCGCGGTGACAAAAAGAACTGGTCATACGTTTGATCGCTGTGTGATTGCATCTCTATGCCAGAGTTACCTGAAGTTCATCGTATCGCTGGTATCGTACGGAGAGCAGCTCTTGGAAGACGGATTCGTGCTATCCAGTCTACCGAAGACCCTCTTGTGTTTGCAGATGGAATAACAAATGAGGTCTTTGTACGTTGAATCAGGATTCCGCTTTCCATTTGATATGATCTATGTGTTCACCGTAACTTTGGGAATGTCAGGAGGAGGAGCTAGTAGGCCGTACAGTCACGAATGTAGGGCGTTATGGCAAGGTTTTCTACGCTGAACTTGATGGCACAGGACGGCATCCTGTCATGCATCTCGGCATGACTGGGAATATGTACGTTAGGGGCACGAATCCTAACTTCTATAGGAGCTCTCCAAAGAAGGTGGACACACAGTGGCCACCCCGGTTCTGGAAAGTATGTATCACACCTTGCTCGCTTTAGGGGAGTTTAAAGCCAAAATCTTAATACAAAAATATGAAATGACATCGTCGCAACTCGCAAGTTCATCTGGAAGATGGAAAGCACACTGACTGAGCCGGAGACTGAACTTGTGTTCGTGGATGCACGTCGACTGGGACGAATACGATTGTGCAAAGATGTCCTGGGCGAACCTCCCATTTCGATGCTGGGTTTTGACCCAATACTCTCCATTCCAACCCTGGAAGAATTCTCATCGAAAGTTCTTAAGCGAGGCCTCCCCATCAAGTCCCTGCTTTTGGACCAGACGTTTAGCGCGGGAGTCGGCAATTGGGTTGCCGATGAGATTCTATTTCATGCTCGAATCCATCCCGAACAAAGATCTAATAATTTGGGGGAGAATCAGGTCAAGGAATTGTATGACAAGATGCAATACGTCTGCCAAACCGCTGTAGGAGTCGACGCTGATTCGTCACAGTTCCCTGAACACTGGCTATTCAGGCACCGTTGGGCGAGCATAAACTCATAAACTCGTCTTGGGTCCACACAATCTTATTGATTTTTCCATTAGGGGAAAGGGAAAGGGAATTCTTCGGACCTGAAGTTGGTGGGTTCACCGCTTTGGGGTGTTGTCCCACCTCACCGACAATAATCCTGCGAACTCAGCCGTCTGGCGAGCCAGCGTTGATCAAGTGGATCACTGTCGGCTCTCGCACGTCCGCATTCGTGCCCAAAGTCCAAGTATTGATGGGAACTAGAGGAGGGAAAGAAGGGACACACAAGGTAGTCAGAAGTCTACCAATTATACCGGAAAGACGTCATCCGAGTTTACGATAGGAAGGAGATGAAGGAGCCCATTCTTCAGGGGATTCTTCTTTATCCGAGCTGGAAGACCCGGAAGGACCAGAGTCTATCAAAACAGTGCGCCCCTTGACACCACGTCGCGTCTAACTGATCCCAAAGCGGCAACTAGACTAAGAAAAGAAAGTCATCGGCTTCAGCGGACCAACCTTCAAAAGAAACCCGCCATGCTCGAAAGCGACATAACATTATCGAAGTACCTTTACTCTGCTGTGCAATCTGCGCGATTGACTTACGGACATACTTGCAGGAATCGGCGAATGAGATCCCCAAAGTGAACCGACGACGAAGCTCTCGTCTGTCAGCCAAAACGTAATAGTCATCACTTTATTCCCTGTCCCGCACGGTTGTAACATAATGTTTCCCAATGTTGAGAACTTCGTTTTGGTATCAAAATGCGTAAATGAAGGCAAGCAACAATATGAGTATTAACTGTAGTTGTCTTTACCGTCGTCCTGCTTGATAATACCCTCCGCGTCCTTACTAATCATCTTCAACCTCATCCATCAATTCGTCCCCATCATCCTCTTGATCGTCTCCCTCGTCCTCGTCCTCTTCTCCATCCTCGTCCTCGTCTTCATCTTCATCCTCATCTTCATCCTCGTCGTTCCCTTCATCATCTGAACCCGACTCTCCTGCACTCTCCTCACCGAGCTGAACATCTTCGATGCTTCCTTCATTCTCATCCATCTCAACATCCACGTCCTCTTCATCCTCTTCATCACTCTCGCCTTCAACATACTTGGAAACCGCAACTTCTCTCCGAGCACGTCGAGCTTCGCCTTCCTGGGCCCATCTTTCCCTTTGTTCGTCTACTGCTTTCCCAGAGAGTGCAGCAGCGGAAACGAGCGCGGACTCGCCATTTCGTGAGCGCATTTCGATCTGCGCGAGAAGGAGGTCAAGACGGCCATGTAATGCCAGCAGGCGATCTTGGAAAGCAACACGGGATGCAATTGTAGTGTGAAGTTTGGCTAGCCGTTTCACAAGTTGTGGGTCCTACGAAAAATGCCATGTGAGCCCCGGGCCCGATCGAATGATTGACAAGGGTTAGTAAACTCACAGTTAGGAGGTATGATGCGTGTACGATGAGGGTTGCACGTAACCACTTTATCAGCACGCCGCCTCTCTCTGCATCTATTCCTGATCCTCTTGAAAACTTGAAACCCGCCGACCCTATGCCACGATTTAGACGGGATACACATTCCTGAATCAATGGCGCCGCAAATCTGGCTGGCAACTTCCGTATAGTACTTGCAACGACCGAGTCTTCACTGGTATTGAGCACTGTCTCGAGGAGCTCCGAGTCACTGGAATGTAATGCCTGAACGAGTGTCCGAGTGAGGGAGAGCGGGTCAGAGGGCTTTGATATGGTTGAGTCTTTTGTGCCCTCGGCCACTAAGTCTAAGTCCAGCGTTGATATGTGCGGAGGGGCAGAGGCGATGGCAAGTTTCTCTCCCAGAGAAAGCTCAGCCATATCACCATCCAGTTCAGCTTCGTTGTTCAGAGCAGCATAGGGGTCTTCTCCGTCTGATACCAATTCATTCCCTGTGCGAAGAGTTGACTCTTCAGCCTCACGATACCTTTGGATGGGAATCTACAAGACGCGCACACATCCGTAAAAATAATAATGTTTGTTTCGAGTGAGAAATGCTTACCCCGGAATCTTCCTCCGCCTGCGTGGGGTTAGAAAGGGGAGCTTCGAGTTCGATTTGGGGAATGTAATTCCCATCGTCGTCGAGGAAATGCTGGGAATGGCATTCTAAGTTTGTTCGGATAATCTCTAACGACGGGACGTACTATGGAAGTGAATACTGGTCGTGTGCCTCTGATATAACGGGCAATGCGTATTACCGGGGCTTCTTTGTTACTGGCAGCAAAGCCTGCCGTGGCCACCAAAGGCTCAGAAGGTCCGGTGACAATGGTCGAGCCTACACTGAGGTTGATTGGCGGCGCCTGCTTTTTGGAGAGCGATGATACGATAGTGGTAGGTATCGGGTAGACGTGCAGAGACCCTGATGCTGAAAGAACCAGTAGAGATATGGATGACGAAGTCTTGGAAAATTCGATGAATCGCACATCGGTGTCAAGAGGGATGGAAGCTATTAATCTTCCCTCTTTGATACTAAAGGACGAGGAACTGTCGCGGTCATCCGGGTCGCCTGGCGCAGGGATTTGCCATATCGAAACAAAGCGGTCACCCTCTGCAATCGAGGCAAGTATTTGGGAATCCGATTCGCTATCGGAATGGGAGACGGAAATCCATCGAAGACACAAAAGGCGGGAAGCATGTCCAATGAATGTGGCAAGTTCGCGCAACTGGCTGGGTTGAGAGGATTGATCTTCGTCATCTGTCTCCCTTGCGAGGCGCACGATTTTAATGGAATTATACCCTACGAATAAGGTATCCACATGGCTGCTCTTCGAAGAGAAGTGGGTTATAGAGGAGTAAGGTGTGCGACCAGTCCCAGTGGCCCCAAGATGTGAGGAACAACTGTTGATCAATTGCCCACTCTTGAGACTCCACGCGTTGAGGATCCCATCCTGGCCCGACGTCCAAATCATCTCATCCCTATGTTTGCTTTCGGGAATCGCTATAGAGAGGATGCTAGACGTGGACCTCGGACTCGACAACGAATGCGTGACTTCACTCGAGTAAGGCGAAAAAATTGTAATGTCCCCGGAAGAGAAGCCAATTACCAAAGATTGTTGCTGAATTGAACTAGCCTCCTGGGCTTCCGAAGCTGTCTCGCTATTTCGCTTCTTTCTGCTCTTGTGGCCCCGTCGGTGTTCCGGGGGCTTAATCCATTGCATACAGGTGACACGAGCATCCTTGAAGATTTTCTCCGACACGACCTTTTCAGTGGAAGTGCTAAACACGCGTAGCCGATGTTTGTCGACCGCGAGTGAGATATGTGCAAAGAGGTCACCCGAGGGGGAAAATGAGGAAAAAGACGCTACCGAGGCTGCTTCTACGATGACCGGTTCGAGCCGAGCACGCGGGCGTATTCGCTTCTTTTTAGGCTGTGGATCTTGCTTACTCTTCTTCGATAACGAGGGCGGCATTGTTTTCGCGAGTTTTTTTGGATTTTTGGGTTGAGTGTGGGCCGGAGAGCGCCGGTGTAAGGACGCGCGACGATGACAATAGACATCAACACAGCTGAATTTCATATTCTCAACGTCACCATCTTGCTGTCGGCTCCAATAATGTGGAGTCCTTTCTCCTATAAAGCTGGCGAGATGGGGGCATCCTTAGGTTCTCCTTCTCTAAAGACGTGTTGCACATATGATTTCCGTCACTTCCAGCGCTGAGAATCTTTTCTCCACCTTGTTGAATATCCTTTTTCGCCTTGTTCATGGCGTCCTGGACGTGCTCCAATCTGGTCTCATTGTAATACAAGCCATGGTTTCGTCCGCACTGGAGGTTGTGGCTGGGCTTCTCCACTCGGCTGCTAAATTGCTGACTGGCACGGCAGCCTTTATTACAGGCGAGTGATCTTGCTCTGTTGTTCTGTGCACTCCCCTCAACCAGTCTTACATTGTAATGCAGGCAATATCGTTGGAATACTGGTCCTCCTTTCCATTTATATTGGATACCAGAAATTTTATGCCAAGGAACAGAGAGGGAGGAGGCTCAAGTAAGAGAAACGAATCCGCTTGATCACATTGGAATCCTCCGAATGCGCCTCGATTGTTCCCCATGTACTAGCTGACCCTTAATAATGTCTCACCCATCATTGTATATGTCAATTCACGTCTGCCCCAGTTTTCCAGAAGCCGAGCTCAACAAACCATGACCGCCATTCATCACGTTTAGTTGGGTCGTTGCACTCTTCCAGAGGAGCAATGGCGCCTGTCCTACCCAGATACGTGCCTGACGACAACGTGGTATCAACCATACCACGGAGAATAGTGTTGGCGGCTAAGAAGTGGCAGCCTTAAAACGCGGCATATAGTGAACAACAAAGACCGATGCTTACCAACGGGTAACGGGGTAGTGAATGGGAATAGGGTCAAAACATACCTCCCGATTAGCTGCAGGATCCATGGCCACTCTCGTGCCAACTTGGTCTCAGGAACGAAGCCTGGTCGTTGTGGAGTCCATGAGATTGAAGGACAACATCGCACAACTACAACTTACCAGGAGAGATTGCCACCACAGAGGGCTTGTTCCCCTCAGAAGGCCAGCGACGATTGATTTCATCCTTCAAAATAAAGAATAGATGCATTTGGACGAGCTTCGATAGACCGTAGGCGTTTCGTCCTTCCCATTTGCCCCCTGAGAGTAGGTCCTCGATTGTGGAGGGTGCCACGACCGCTGGCAGGGTTATCATTTATTCGGCTCGGTACGGGGCGAATGGAGCAATTCGTACTTTTCGCAGGCACTTTGTGTTTCTCCGAACCCACCAGTACGATGCGCCCATCATCCGCCATTACGTGCAACAAACGCTTCAATAGAACAGCCTGACTAAGCGTGTTGACGAAAAGGGTGCTCTCGAATTCTCTGTTGTCTGGAAGTTTGACGGTCTTTCGAACGTTGCGTACGACAATCCCAGCGTTCAGCACCAGAATATCAATCTTCTTGTTAGGTTTGACGATATTCGACAAGACATCTTGCGCAAAGCGTTCGATAGAGTCGAGCGAAGCTAGGTCAAGTGGCAGCAAATGTGCCTTAACCTCGAGTGGCGACGGTGATGATTGCCGAACACCCTCAAAATGAGCTTGTAACGCTCCGTCGGAAGTCGATCGTGCACCGATGTATACTTCATAGTTGAACCGAGGAGTGGCTTCAAAATTTGTCGGGGCGTTTTCAATGAGTTTCCCCAGAGCTGCAAGGCCTAATCCAGCCGTGCCTCCGGTGAAAACTACGAGTTTAGACATAGGGTCCATATGTGATGCCAAGCTAGGGTAGGAGGGGATTCGATAGTGCAATGCTCAAGAAGCTCTTGAGGGATTCGGCGCACACAATGTAGAAATGCAGAGAGACACTAGTGCCGATGGAAGCTCGAAGTAGGAAGGAAAGCCTTCTTCGGCGGGATTTTACATGTGCGCGTGCTCGAACTTTCCGAGACTTATAGCGTGGATGGTATTATTTTCCCATGAAAGATCAGATCAGCACTACCTCGATGACTGCGTGCAAAGCGCTCCGGTCCGTTCAACTGCTGCTAACGCGAGAAATTCTCGCCGGGCCGGTCGCGGCAAGTACTGTAACCCGCTACTCTTGTTAGTCAATTTAATGGAGGGCACGAGATTAAATATGACTTGCGCCTCAGCGCCTCAGTTCTTCTTCTGGGCATCCGCCGTGCCCCTTGCTGGGTCAAGTACCCAATATTCATCGTATTACGCCTTTTATTCATCATCCCCGATGTTCAGTTTTTCATTGAGTTGTCTGGTCTGCACTTGTTTCTTTAGCTAGGTTTCTTATTCACGCTTCTCGATCGGTACGTCGGTTTTATCTTTTTCTTTTTACTTGCTTCCGCTGCCACGCTTCGGCCTCCGTGCCTTCTTATCTGCGTCCGCACTACCTCTTGCATCCGCGCACGCTGGAGTTTATTTCTTTGTTCTACGACTCTATTTTGAACTAATTTTCTTATCAGTTCGGTTATAGGAAGTTTTGAATATTCGGTCTTGCATAGGATGAAGGCGGGCTCGTGAGTTGGGACCCGGATGTTGACGGTGGCTTTTCGTTTTTCAGTTAGTGATATCAATATGTTTGTGAGAAATCAGCTCGGAAATGACCAAATTTCGGGGATTTTTTATTTTCAATACAGTTACTTAAGTCGAGCGCTTACACATAAGAGAACCCTCCGGAAATTAATATTCTAGAGGGGAAATTCCAACCTCCGCCATCAGGCAGATTGTAGCGAAATTCTATTTGTCGTATGGTCAGAATGGGAAAAAAGGACCCTAGGTTACAGAGGACCCTGTGCACAGAGTGGGGCCTAAATTTGCAGGACCCGTTACGGAGTGGCGGGGATATTTGTCTATTTGTCTATATCCGAGCAATATGATGGGGGTAAATTGGCTGTGTGCTTGCGTCCAGGGATGCTGGTGATATCCAAGCTTGGACATCCTTTCTGGTCTTCACAACATCCGTCGAGCTATGGAGTTCTCAACCGCGCTTATTCTCATCGCTATACTCGCTTCCACTGTCACAATGACCCTTGCTGCTGCTATTCGTAGTGTCCTGATGCCGAAGGGTCCAGTAAAGCCTAACTCGTACATCGTGTATGTCCCACGCACAGGCATAACATAATACTGGCTCAGGACTCTTACTTAGTGCGCTCAAATCCGGTACGGATATGGAAGATCATATCGAGGGTATCGCTCGGATATCCGCCCGGAGCCCTGGGTCAGAATTTTCAATCACTCAACGGTATAGAAGTGAGTGGATATCAGAGAACGCTGAAGATATGCTAACTTTCGTAGTCCTGAATGGCTACGCCGCACACGCAACTGGAGCATCTCTTACTCGCATTCTCAATTGCCCCGACGTTGATTATGTCCAAGCTGATGGCATAGCTTTCTTCGACTATGGCCTCCGCCAAGTGAACCATGAGGATGCGGATGTTTCAGTTGAAATGGGGGATGATCCGGCTGGACTCGAAGGACGTGCTGGCAGTGGGCCCGGGGATGGAGTAGATATTTATGGGGTTGATTCCGGAGTTTTCTATAGACACTTATACTTTGGTGGACGGGCTGCTCTCATCGCTGTGCGTATCTCTTTATGCACACACTCATATATGTTCACTCATGCCAGGATGTATGTGCAGTTCATGGACGGGTCCCTCCGGGATGTCAGCGGTCATGGCACAGCTCTCGCCGGGGTCGCAATGGGGAGTGTGTTTGGGAAAGCGACTTCCGCCCTGATGTTTGGGGTCAAGGTTACCAACGATGAAAACATTGCAGAGATCTCCAACGTAATCGCAGGCCTCGATTTCGTTGTGGAGCGATTCAGAAAACGAGGACGTCCTGCCATTGCGTTAGTGCCCGTCATCGGAGAGTCAGATGAGGGCCTTAACAATGCCGTCAGGGGAGCAATCGCCCTTGGGTTGCATGTTGTAGTCGGCGCAGGGAATGACGGGATGAACGCAGAGGGTTTCAGTCCAGCGTCTGTTGGTGAAGCTATCACCGTTGGCGCTATCAACAACTGTTACGAGTTGACGGAGTGGTCCAACTGGGGACGTGACGTTGATATTCTCGCCCCAGGTGTCGATATTGTTAGTACTGGGATCGGTGGCGAAACTGCAGTGAGCGTCAAGAGTGGCACTAGCATGTCAGCCGCGCAAGTTGCGGGCGAGTTAGCCGTTGCTTTGGGTCAATATGGACAGATGACTCCTGCCGCTCTAAAAGCTGCCCTACTACGCCGCGCCATTCCAATGGCTAAGGTCCAGCGAAGGGACACCACGAGCTTGGTGGCCGCCAAGATCTGACATTGGTGATGGTGACTTCTGATTCATAGAAGTAATAGACGCATATTCGGCACGACCTGCCTCCGCAATCTTTCCCTGTTCTCACCCCGCTTCTTGTACGAGTCAGTCATTTATGTGTGCTATTCATTTGTTTCATTCCCGTAGCCAGGTTGGTTATCTCAGAGTTTTTGCAGGGATGATCCTGGTTTCTAGGTAGAGGTGGTCCGCAGCCTCGTAAGTACGTGGCAGTGCGGCTATCCTACATGAGGGGATCGTCCAATGTAAAGGAAGGGCAGGTGTTGTAGTTTCGGGTTACATAGAATATCTTTTGTTGCAAACACATGGTCATCTCACACGAAGTTCGAAGTGCGCGGTGTATTTTCGTGATGACCCATGCGGTCGTTGCACCCGAGCCTAGAGGTTTGGGTTTGGAGGAACATAGTGGAAGGCAGCGGAGTTGCTGCCCAGCCGTGGGCACCAAATTAAACCTTTATATATTACTTCGGCGATGAGGGTAAAGGTTGTCGTCAGTTAGGTGGTGCAGCGCATGTGTGGTTGTGGCTATGTTCCCTTTCCTTGAGAGTTAGTGTTCCCACAGACTCGTACCCAGTCGGAGGAGCTCCGTGGACGCGCAAAATAATAGCTCTTTATGTAATGTTCTCACGTTCTGTACTCAATACAAAAGGTCACATGCTACGGAGTTAAACACATAGCCGATCACCTACTCCGGAAATTTGGACGCGACACTTCGCTCCTGGGGCAAAATGTAGTATGGCTGTGCTCCGGCACTGTCCGGCCTCTGTCTTCCCACGGCAAACAAGCTCGCTTCAAGGCTCTAATCGTCACACCCCTCCCCAAGCCATCACAGAAAAAATCCAAAACAAATGTAGTAGTTACCCCCACCCAAAATTAACCCAGCCCAACCCAGCCCAACCCGATTCATCTGCTTCTTGCTCATATGTGCTAAAATTATGTTGGAATCTTGTATTGCACACTCAAAATAATATTCTTTTTCACCTCATCGGCCAATTTCTTGGGGTGAGGATACTGTAGTGATCAACACCAGAGTAGGATTGGACTATGATTAGGTAGTTCTACCATGTTTTTCCCTTGACTGGGCTCAATAATGACAAAGTGCTGAGTGCGCGATACAAGATTCCAACATAATTTTAGCACATATGAGCAAGAAGCAGATGAATCGGGTTGGGCTGGGTTGGGCTGGGTTAATTTTGGGTGGGGGTAACTACTACATTTGTTTTGGATTTTTTCTGTGATGGCTTGGGGAGGGGTGTGATGATTAGAGCCTTGAAGCGAGCTTGTTTGCCGTGGGAAGACAGAGGCCGGACAGTGCCAGAGCACAGCCATACTACATTTTGCCCCAGTCAGAGGAGCGAAGTGTTGCATCCAAATTTCCAGAGTAGGTGATCGGCTATGTGTTTAACTCCATAGCATGTGACCTTTTGTATTGAGTACAGAATGTGAGAACATTACATAAAGAGCTATTATTTTGCGCGTCCATGGAGCTCCTCCGACTGCGTACGAGTCTGGTGTTCCCACAGCCTCCTCACCAAACCCAGACTCGAACCCAGCCATCTCCACTTTGTGGATGCGCACTGCACAATGTTAGAAAATAATTAACATCGCGAAAACCGGTCTGCGCTCCAGAGCAACATCCAAAGACAATTCCAGTCTTTTAACTCCTGGGTGCTCCGTGGTTCTCCTGGGTGCTCCAGTGAACTCCCAATCAGTATCGATCTCCTTGTGCGAAACCCTGCATCATGTGTATTTTTGACATAGTTCTCACCGATCATCATAATTCTCATTAAATAAGAGTTGAGGCTGTTGGAATATGGGATGGAGTAACCTCCCTGGCATAACGGGCGAGTAGTGTATGGATGCACGCTAGAGGTCCTGGGTTCGATACCAGGCTTGTCCATTTTATGTCATTTGTCCAGTCACCTGGTTTACCTCATTTGGATATCACGGAGTAAGTCCCGTGGGGCAACATGAAATTTCTTCATGGTGGACAGCCACGGTACATCAATTTGGAGGCTAACACCCCAAATTGAGGGCGAGTGTTGGAATATGGGATGGAGTAACCTCCCTGGCATAACAGGCGAGTAGTGTATGGATGCATGCTAGAGGTCCTGGGTTCGATACCAGGCTTGTCCATTTTATGTCATTTGTCCAGTCACCTGGTTTACCTCATTTGGATATCACAGAGTAAGTCCCGCAGGGCAACGTGAAATTTCTTCAGAGGCACTAGCGCGTAGTATGCCAGGCCAACCTCTGTTACATATTGTAACCTAGAATGAAACTATAATGACATGAAGAACTCATAGTCACTGTGACTTGAGAATGGGTTCACATAGTAGTGTGCGACGTTGTCATAACAGTTGCCTGATGTGATGTCTCCCTTTTGGTCTCCCTCAAGGACCGGGGCTAGCATGCAAGGCCTTGCTATTGTCACTGCAGGGATAACTCCTGTTGCGCGCTGACCTGAACTCCTGACATCCTTATGAATTTGGTACAGGTGTGTGTGCGGGGCTGGATTCATGAATGGAGTCCACCATTCAACATAGGTGTCATATCCATACAATCCCGACCTCCGCTCCGGGCTCCTGGAACTCCGAACTCCGACTTCCGGAGCCCTACTTCCCTTCCGTCACCTTCTCCTTGCCGACTCCCAAGAGGTTATCCCACCTCTGGCTCGGACACCACCTTCGGTCCGACTCCGGAACATTCCGGGTCCGACCCCAACCTCGACACCTTCCAGACGAGTACGCAAAACCTATGCTCCCGACTCCGGACCTCCGCTCCGGTATCCCGTTCACGTCTTGTCTCCGGAACCTCCGGTCTTAGCTCCGACCTCGGACTTTGACCCCACCTCCGCTTATACCCATTGTATTGGTTAGCTCATTCCATTTAATTACCTTTGCCAATATTCCGGAGTTTAACCTCCGAGTTCGGACTTTCCGGACTTACTCCGGACCTTGCAACTATTGCATTGTCCATTTCAATTCTGCTATTCTCCCTCATTCCTATTTGGGCTGCTGCTTCCTTTCTATTCAGTCAGCTAGCCATTCCCGACTCCCATCCTCCTTCCTTCCTTCTTGGGCCTTGGCCCTTCATTCCTCCTTTGGGAAACACCATTGAGTCAAACACTTGACCCTCGGTGTTGTTCCTCTTTCCATCTCCCTTGTCTCCTTTTGTCCTACCCTTGTTCCTTTTGATTCCGGACCCCTCCTTATATACAATGTACCTAGTAACTTGTAACCTCAGTCCGAAATCGACATGAATTCCCTGTCATATCCATACAATCCCGACCTCCGCTCCGGGCTCCCGGAACTCCGAACTCCGACTTCCGGAGCCCTACTTCCCTTCCGTCACTTTCTCCTTGCTGACTCCCAAGAGGTTATCCCACCTCCGGCTCGGACACCACCTTCGGTCCGACTCCGGAACATTCCGGGTCCGACCCCAACCTCGACACCTTCCAGACGAGTACGCAAAACCTATGCTCCCGACTCCGGACCTCCGCTCCGGTATCCCGTTCACATCTCGTCTCCGGAACCTCCGGTCTTAGCTCCGACCTCGGACTTTGACCCCACCTCCGCTTATACCCATTGTATTGGTTAGCTCATTCCATTTAATTACCTTTGCCAATATTCCGGAGTTTAACCTCCGAGTTCGGACTTTCCGGACTTACTCCGGACCTTGCAACTATTGCATTGTCCATTTCAATTCCGCTATTCTCCCTCATTCCTATTTGGGCTGCTGCTTCCTTTCTATTCAGTCAGCTAGCCATTCCCGACTCCCATCCTCCTTCCTTCCTTCTTGGGTCTCGGCCCTTCATTCCTCCTTTGGGAAACACCATTGAGTCAAACACTTGACCCTTGGTGTTGTTCCTCTTTCCATCTCCCTTTGTCTCCTTTTGTCCTACCCTTGTTCCTTTTGATTCCGGACCCCTCCTTATATACAATGTACCTAGTAACTTGTAACCTCAGTCCGAAATCGACTGGAATTCCCCCCCAAGAGACTTTCCCTCTGCTAGATCCGAAATTAGGGACCCCCAGGACAACCAGCAATGGCACAGCGCTCCGCCTGAGTTGCTGAGGCCGAGGTCCTTCCATGCTAAGTCTCCGATTCCATTCCGGAGTCGTCCGAATCCCCGCATTCTAACATTCCCCCAAGAGACTTTCCCTCTGCTAGATCCGAAATTAGGGACCCCTAGGACAACCAGCAATGGCACAGCGCTCCGCCTGAGTCGCTGAGGCCAAGGTCCTTCCATGCTAAGTCTCCGATTCTGCTCCGGAGTCGTCCGAATCCGCCCGTTCTAACAATAGGCATAGAGAGTCAAGTTCTGAAATTGCGTCCTCATGCCTGCTGCGGAAAATAATAACGGGATGCTGGCAACACGATAGCCTTCAAGAATATGAGTACAATCAATGAAGAAAAGGAACTGCTACTTACGACGAATGTCTTTGCGGACAGGATTGATTTCCACAAGTACTGGATCACGATTGAGGCAGTGTATCCGTTCAGTTTCCTGTTCATAAAATTCATTTGGAGATGGTATAGTGAAGTGGAAGGAAGTCCAAACATCGATATTGGTAAAGTCAGAAGGTGGAGGGCCATAATAGTCATAGCGGGGACATCTCTGGCTTCCATCGTCATCATATGTGATGAATTGGTATATCGCACCAATGAAATCAGAGAGCCGAAGTCTCTCAGCAATTGTTATCGCTGATATGTTCTGATAATGGGGCTGCACCGCGTGCTTAATCAGGCCTTGAACTGATAAAGGGCCCTCACCAGGGTTTTCCAATGCTTCGCTGCTGGAGTCAAACATAGGGCCTCGTGTCCTCCATTGCGAATATGCAGAAAAGAGGGAGAGGGATTCTTGACGGACATAGAAGCGGATCATTTGTTTGTCGAATTCCTTACGGTTTGAGCTTTGATATGCGGCTTTCGGCAGCTTCTTGTGGAGACTCTCCCCAACCTCGGAGCAGAAGTTGTCACATGTACCAGAGGTGACGATGTTGTCAGCCCAGTGCGAAAGCATATGAAGTTTGGGTATGTTAAGATCATTCAGAGGCCCATTAACCCCGCGTCGTGAGCCATTGGATATGAATATCTGTTTTGAGGCATGAAAACCTGCGAGAGACACCGTCATTTTAGAGATAGTGGCGTCAGTATGCAACGGGAGCTGGGCAAGATAGATGAAGTCTAGGAGTGATCGCACTGACTTCAGCACTCCAGGTACTGCACCAGAAGCACTGGCAATAACTGGAAGGATGTGCCGTGTTAGAACCGGGCGGAAACAGACGACTCCGGAGTGGAATTGGAGACTTAGCGTGGAGGGACCTTGGCCTCAGCGACTCAAGCAGAGCGCTGTGCCATTGCTGTTTGTCCATTTGGTCCTTAATTTCACAGTAGGTGAGCAGGAAGTCTCTAGGGGGCATTTCAGGTCGATTTCGGACTAAACCAAAACGAGTATGTACAAGCACCGATATATATAATGGAAGGGGCAAAAGCACAAGGAAAACAAAGGGTAACCGAATCGGAACGAAGACGTCCAAACGGGAACAAAGGGTAGAAGGAGCGGAGCGGTACCGAAGGTCAAAAGGCAGGACCTGTGATACGTCCGAAAGGAGGTAGGGAGGGCGAGGCCCAGAGGGGCAGGAGGATGAGGGGAAGTGGGGATGATGACTAACTGGCTAGAATAGGAAGAAGCAGTAGTCCAAATAGGGATGAGGGGAAAACGCGAGAAATACATTACAAGCGGCGAGAGTGCTGAAGGTGATCCGCAAAGCTCGGGGGTTGTGGAGGTTACGGAGGTTACGGAGGCAGGGTTGAAAGTCCGAGGGATATTGGCAATGGTGTTTACATAGTATGAGGTCACCAATGCAATGGACTAAGACCGAGGTGGAGTCAAAGTCCGAGGTAGGGACTATGATGGAGGCTCGGAGCAAGGTACGAGTGGTGTCCGAGTGCGAAGTACGGGACAGCGGTGGAAGGTCGTAACTTGGCAGAAGGGTGGCGGAGGAGTAACAGAGGGAGGAGAGAGGGGAAAGGTAAGGCAGAAGGAGTGGCGGAAAGGAGAGTAGTCAGGTCCGAAGGTGAGTATCGGAGCGGACGGGGGAAGCGTAGGAGGATGACAGGAGGGGCGGTGTTCGGTCCGAGATGAGTATCGGAGCGGATGGAGATAGGGTCGGAGAGGTAAGGAGGAGGTGTGTTGCCAGGACCGAAGGTGAGTATCGGAACGGCAGCGGTAGGTTATGACTCCGGAGGTGAAGAGGGTGGGGGTCCGGAAGTCGGGTCGGGGTCGGGTATGCATGGATATGACATGCCGCTCAAGATCGCGATTTCCACCTCCTGTCCATTGGGATATATGTGATATGCCGGAATCAAAATTCCGGTAGCCGATACGATGCACCTGGGCCATCATACAGCGATCGAGCTCTGTTTCACCTATGGTATGCTTCATCCATTCCATGACATGGTCCTTGAAAAACTTGTGGATGCCGTGAAGAACATCGACACATAGAATAGTGGAAATATCATTCCCCGGAAGGTTCCCCCAACATAGTTCCTCGACTCCTGCTAGACCAAAGTCCTTTGCCTTCTGATAGAACTGCCAGGTATCGGCACTGGGGTAGGTTGCACGTATCTGCCTTAGCATTTCCAGTGTTGACTGACCTGTTCTCCGGTCACTGGCTTCGGCACATTCGAATTCAGTACTGTCAGAAAAGCATTTGGGACATGAATTGCTGGCTACGCCTGCAATAAGACACTGCTCCTTCAGATCTGCTATCCATGCGACCAGGAAGCAAAGACATCTGCGGAGGTTCCCATGGGGATCGGCCATGATTTGCCCATGCCAATGTGACACTGGATCACATAATGGCCTGAGAATGACCTTCATGCACTTGTGGAACGATATGCTTTGGAGGAGCCCAGGCATTCGTTCCTGCTCTGTCTTGGTCTGGAACTGGGTCTTCGCAAACTTGGACACTGGGATCTTTGCTATCGGTATCCAGGTGCCTTGGCTGTACTTCTTTCGTGATGCCTTGTCAATGTTCGCAATGCTCATATACACAGCATGTGCAGTCTTGTTCCCCGAAAAGTTTGTTAAGTGCGTCTCATCTGATGCAAATATTATACCAATCGGGCTCGCTCCAGTTGGTATGACCTTCTATAAATAAATCTAAGCACGATCATTCCATTGGAGCATTGAAACACACCTGTAAGTTTGCCATTATTTCGCCAGTCATAAATTCATGATATACCCTAGTTTTCCCATCGGGTTCAAAAACTCGAAGCCCTTCATAGTTCATACAGTCTTGAATGGCTGGATTTCCATATAGAAAGGCAGCGCATTCAACGATATCTCGATACCACAGCGTTTGCGGCTCATTGGGAGCATCCGGAAGGACAAACTTCTCACTCATCCAAGGTGGCCCCTGTGGCATGAGGGTTTCGATCCGCTCAAACATTTCTTTGGCATTTCGGAAAGATGGTGCCAGCTTGTCACGGATCTAGGCTGTGCACAGATGAGTTATGTTTTTGATCTGACAAACAGGGAAGGGAAATGATCTAACTCACCAAATCTAGTTGTAGGAAGTCATTGATCTTCGATTGGGATAAGCCACTCAGCGCTAGTGTGAGGCCCCGGCCCATGTCTATATTCCGCCCACAACATCAGTTGATGTTGTGTTGTGTAATAATTATGTCGCGACGCTAATTTAGCGTCGCGGAAGCTTCTCTATTTATTTGTGCCGAGAATGTATAAGATTGTATATAAACCCTCGGGGTAGCTGTAAAAGGCGGATGAGCCTTTACTTCTACCCCGTTAATATACAGCCAAATCAAGCGTATACTTAGATGGACTACTGAGGCCTGAGGCGAATGGGGGAACGGAACGTTACCGTCCCCAAACTAGTAAGATACCTTTCACTTTTTTACAGTTGTTATTCTCTTTCCATTCTCGGCACTGCGTTACCGGTGCCGAAACCCCATTTGGCAACGCGTGCGTCGTCGGCCCCTGACAACGCGCGACTTCGATCAAGTTCTCACACGAACTTGTTGAACGACTCGACACCTCTTCTGGATGTCGTGGAGATACAACACCAGGAGCACGTCCAACACTCCCGCCAACACGGCCGGCCCCTCCACTGGCCGTAGGGTGGAAGACGACACCACCTCAAGTGATGGTGGTGATCTGGGCCTGCAAGGGCCCAGGGATGCGTCTCAGACGCATCCCACCTATATGAGAGACGTTGACGAAGTCACAACATCTGAAGCCCTTGCAGCGGAGACTCTTGTGGCATTCGTCCCAATGCGCGCGTCGCATCCTCCATCCCCAACCCACTCCCTCATGTCTGAAACGGCGCGAGTACTAAGAAATCGCGTCGACCAAGTCGACGACGACATCGCCGACTTGAGAGGCGATGTCCATAACATGAATACCCAAATCTCTGGGAATAGCGATAACATTGCTCATCTAGATCGTAACATCATTAAGGTGGAGGAAAGACTTAATGAGAAACTAAACGAAATCCTCCTTGCGCTCTCTCGACGCGACGAGCCAAAGCCACCCGCAGCAACGGTGGATAACCCATCTGCAAACCCTGCAGTGAACCCAACAACGGGTGGGGACCCTATTGTCGTCTCTGACCAGACGAAAAAAACCGCTGTTGAGGCGCAGGCACCCCAAGAGGTCCCTGTAGTCCCCGTTAATCAAACGGGTCAACCAATCACTAAACCCGCTGTGGAGGCGCAAGCGCCCCAGGAGGTCCCTGTAGTCCCCGTTAATCCAACGGGTCAACCAATCAGTGGGGTCCCCATACCTGGAGGGATCCCCACTGTCTCTGCCGTCGTCACAGATGCGCCAGAGGTGACAAGTTCACGCCCGTCCGTCGAGGTGCAAGAATCTGACGGACGTTTTGTTCCCATCTTTAGTGGAACTAAGCCACCTACCCCGTCGATGGCGCCAGTAACCACTGACGCCAAGGGAAAAGGTAGGGAGATCGACCCAGGACAACTGGCTGGATCATCGACTACAGGGGAGAGTGGAACTTCTCCATTCCATTTCAGACCAGGCTTCATGCCCGCACCGTTCATTCTGTCGTCCCAACCCACGAACGGTGGGGTGAAAATACCACACGTTGACGCTACTCAAACGCGTAATTTCCCTCCCGACCATGGGAGAAAGAAAGCAGTGCCAATGAAGGCCACTGTGGAGACGATACAAGAGGAGGACGGTGACGCGGAAGCCACCAGTGTTCCGTACGATTATTACGCATGGAAATAACGCCCGATCTACATCCAGGATCGTGTAGATGACATTGGCGGACAGCCCACCAAGGTCAGACCTATCTTCGCTAAGTGTAGTCTCAGCGAATCTACTTTTGACTTTAACGCCCGTCTGGATGCAGACGCAGCATTCGTATACAACGTGGGTCGTGGGGCAAACGGTGAAGACCCCGAAAGACTGTCCCACGGCACAGCACTCAGACGAGTGCTGGATAACTACCACCGATTCTCACAACCGCCTGCGGCTCCAGAAGGGAGCAAGAGGCGTGTAGACCAAGTTAGGTCTAACTCGGGATGAAGGCCCCACCGTCTGAGTGGGGATGGTGATGACGAGGATGGTGGCGAGGGTGGCTCGTCCTGGCCCAACCCACCATTTCTTGACCCATTTGGCACCGAAGCAAAATGGGAGCCTTCATCCAACTTTCCAAACCGCTCGTCTGTACGACCCGGTTTGTTTGACTCAACCATGCGTTCATACGCAGCACCTGCGGCACGAGTAGTGCCTGATCCATCTGAGTTCATGACTCAGCTTCTTGAATCTGCATGCCGAAGTGTGGAGGTCCGAATCCTGCAGCCACTGCCTGCAGATGTGCGCCCAGAACTGCTCAAAAAGATGCAGGGACTGACTCTGACCATCAAATGGTCTGGAGAGAATAACTCGAAGATATTCCACAACTGGCTGCACTCCTGGCTAGCCTATATGTCGTCGTGTGGGTGGAAGGGTGAAGCTTACAACGAGTTTCATGTCCACACTTTGACAACCGCCATTGAAGGTGAGGCGCAAGACCTCCTGATGCACTATATACGCATTGGAGTGCAGAACGGGGTAACTCCCCCATTCTGGGATCTACTAGAGATCCTTATCTGCACCTTCATCAAGAAGTCTGCAGCAGTAGCATCCACGAAAGCGTTCAAAACGCTTTCATACGATTCCGCGAAGGGAATCAAACACTTCTATAACCAGCTGTATCGTGCAGCTGAGGAGATGATCACGCCTCCTGACCAGGCAACATTCAATGAACGTTTCCTGAACGCCATCCCTGGCGAAATGCGTCGGGAGATGGTTATGCGCCATGACATTTCCGTGGACTACACAACGAAAGATGAGCTGTGGACCGCCGTGCTCCGCCTGGACCACGCATACGATTCAATTAAGGCGATCTCTGCGTATCGTAACGACTCGCAAGCGCCAGCCGCATCAAAAACGACGCAAAAACAAGGAAACACCACAGCAGCACCCAAAAAAGCTGCTGATTCTTCGTCCACCAAGAAAGTGTACAAAAACACATTCGGGGGAAACACGTCAACTCTGAAGAGCGGACAACGCTCGACCTTCCGTGCGAGCTATTTGCCGGCTCCAAAAACAGAGAAGTCGACGTCGTCTACAGCGACGAAATCGACGCCATCCTTGGATAAGGATGGGAAACCGCATTGTTATAAATGCGGGAAAGTAGGCTATCAACGTGATTGCCCAAATCACAACAAGCTGTCAGGGTTCAGCACCCTGCCTTAGGGTGCCCCAGACTCCCCACCTACTTTACCCCCTTTTTATTCTTTGACTGTTGCCTTGTTGTTGCCTTTGTGTGTTGTGTACACGCGCACGCACGGGATAGCGTGGGAACTTTCTGAGCGAGCAGCTCGCCCAGAATGTTCCCACGGGTCACAGCCACAGTTCTGGGTGAGCAACTCGCCCAGAACGCTCCCACGCTTACTGGGCACTGCCACCTGGATGTTCCCTCCGGGTCACACTACACAACTCTAGGAGCTGTATAGTTGTGGGCATGTGACCCATTCCTTTATATAGCAACCATGCGGGGAGATGAGACCTTTACCCTTCTTCTCATCTCATGCCCCGCATAGGCAAGTGTATATATTATCTTTCCTTTTACTATACATCTCATGCCCTGCATAGTGTGAGGACAGGGTAGATGGGGGATGAGGTCAGGGAGCCTCCGAGTCCGAGGCCGGGCCCTGACACAAGCCCAAACCGCGCATGTACAACATAGCGGTCGAGTCTGACGAACGAGACCTACAGGACTCGGAGCCTGTAGAAGAACCGGAAGGTGTTGAAGATCCTGCAGAGGTGCAGGACTATATGGCAGACGATGAGGCATTCGACGATAAACTCGTGGACGACCCATATGACCCCAACCTCCTCGCTGAGGCGGAGGAGGAGTACGTAGAAGTGGATGCCGACATGTTCGTGGATCCCACAGACAAAAACTTCTCCATTAAATTAGCGTCTGCTCGGCAAGCGGACAAACTGCCATCTGATGAGCAGATAGTAGCTGAGCTTGTCGACGACGCAGTAAAGACCTACAAGAGGGACGGTGTTATACCGGTCCCAAAATCTTCATCCGGGAAACCGTCAACGCAAAGTGTGACGAGTTCTTCAGTGCCTAACAAGCTTCTGAAGAAAATCCTGCCAATATTCGATGCGAAGTTTAGAATCTCGCAAGAGGCAGGTAAATACCCTGAAAACCGCAGCACCGACTTAAGGCGGACGCTCACCGGTGAGGTTAACATCACCGGGGTAAACGCTTTTGTCCTATTTGATAGTGGCACTGAAACAGACGCCCTATCTCCAGATTTTGTCCGAGCAGTACACATTCCACTGCTCGAGTTGCCAAACCCCTTGGTTCTCCAGATGGGGACCAAAAACAGTCGTTTGTGCATAATGTACAGCACGAATACTCCCGTAACCATTCACGGGGTTACATCTACTCACTATTTTGACATCGTCAACATTGACCGCTACGACGCCATTCTCGGAGCTCCTTGGCTGAATGCCAACGGAGCGTCCCTCAATTTCGAAACTCACACCATCCACATAAAGATGGGCGACATCAAAACGTTTGATGTCCTGACGGAACGGGGTAAAACCTCCGTGGGGGCTGCTGCACACGGTCACCCCAAACTTCCCCGTGCACCGAGATCCGAACTGTCATCTAAACAGACGGCATGACGCAATACGGCGAAGGCTGGAAACCCTTCGCCACGCGTCCTTGCCATCTCTGCTCAAAAAGATGCGGATACCTCCCAGTGGCCCAATCACTGGCCAAGCCCGAGGTCGAAAGACCTCAGGCTTCCTGACTGTTCCCATTTAGAAGGTCTGCCAATGACAGACCCTGAATTCGTGCCACTCAGGAATTGGTGGCATGAATGTTTCAAAGACGTCATGGCACCAGCCCCTGAAGTCCTACCTCCGTTCAGG